ATTATTATTATTATTAATTATTATTATTATTATTATGCAAAACTATTTGTTATCATTACTATTATTTATTATAATTACTATTATATCATTACTGTTATTACTATTATTATTTTTACCATTAATATTATTATTGCTACTATTTATTTATATATATATATATATGTGTACCTGTTTATTTCTAATTAACTTAGTAATAAATCATTAAAACTTTTTCTTGGAAAGTACCTAAAATTACCTAATCAACAAATAAATTTTTTCGATGAAATGGAGTATATGAAATGGAGTAACGAAGAATTTTTAGAGAAAAAATGATAAAATAGAATGGAAAGCCACCAATTTAAACTATCATTTAAATAATCTTTACCTTGCTTTGAAGTATTTAAAATAAATTTTAAAATATTTTGTACTAATCTCATCGTTATCACGATTTTATCTTCGAACAGGCAGATATTTCAGCATGGAAATTAGAAGAAATTAATGCGAAATTAACCCAACTCATTCACTGATTAAAATCAAATCAATTAATTGTTCATTTACTTGTTTGACTATCACATGTCCATTTATGATAAACTTGCATACCGATTAATGCATATGAAACAGGGTTACCATTCGGATGATTTTCGAGAATCTAAAATTCCTTTAACCATTTGAATCGTTATCAAAAATTCAGAATAGCGTTTTTTGGGGAAATTTAAATTTCATTTAAATTTTTTAGTATTTCTAGTTTTAGTTTCAGTAAATAGTAGTATTTTAGTAATTTTTTTTCGTATCGAAGAGATGTTCACTCTCAAATTAAATGTCGAAGAGACACAAAAAGAATAATCGATCAACTGAAGAGATTTTCGAATTGAAGATTAATATCATGAAAAGTTCACTTTAAATATACAAAAACAACGTCCTATTCTGCTACATTTTTTGTAATGGCAAAATGGCAAAAAGTGAAATCACTTTGTTCTTCACTTTTCATCATCCATCGTTCAACATTATTATTTTACTATAGAAAAGAAAAAATTTTTTTGAAAATTTATATATGGAAAAAAAGTTCGAAAAATTTTTAAAAAAAGATTGAACTTTTCAAAAAAAAATATGTGGGCTGTAGGCTCTATGAAGAAGTGGATGGCGCCCATCATCCCTGGTCAGGCTTGCCCCGCTGGTTGTGAGAAATTACGACAGAAATTTTTGCCAAAGAATCAATTAGAGGTTAGGAATACAAGTGGATAACCTTGATGGCCGGGATGATAATTGGAGTAATGCTATTTTGTAGCATCTACGGTGAATAACATTACCTATTCCATAGCAGCGATAATAAAATCTTATAGGTAATTAATACCTCATATCGGCAAACAGGCATTGGTATGTTGTGTGCCGCCAGTGCTGTTGTTAAATCTGATACTACAATATTTGTAGTGATTGTCTGTAATTTTAATAGCATAATACCAGGAAAGAAAATTGATGATAACATTGTTAATTAATTTTAGAAATAATTTTAAAATGAAGATTTTCGATTAATAAAAATAATTTCAGTGAACTTATTTTCAAATTTTGAATCATTTTAAGTTGAGTTTGAGGTTCCAAGAAACCTTTCACAATGGCGTCATTAACATTTTAATAACGACTTAATCCATTCTAGGAATTCGTTCCATTGAAATTCGACTATAGATCAACCTCAATTTGAAGTCAACTGTTCAATTTACGCATAGTAGATTAAGATGAATGAAAAGGAATTAAATGATAATTTTCCACATTTCATATTTATTCCACCCATTAAGACTCACGAAACTGGGTGATGACATATATGATGTAACCTCCAACTTCCAAAATGTTCTCGTTTTAGCACATCACAGTGTTTTTTCAACTGAATAAACTTCTCTAACGATTCAAATATAATCCTTGAAAATCTCACCTTATCAGCTTCCATATAGAAACATTGCACCTTATAAGCTCGATCGACTTTTGTCAAAAACTTTGGGTGAAATGTAACAATTACCACAGCCGTAATAAAAATACCTTTTGGATTAAGAGATCGAACTCGTGATAAGCCGCAAGTATTGAATGGAATTGTTAAAGATGCGATTTTACGACCATTTTCATCGGATCTGATCGAAATCGAATTTAGAAATATGCATCTCATACATTAATTTAAAATATTGCAATAACTAAAATATATAAAAAGAATTTAAATATATAAAAATATCTAATTTAAACCATTTTTATCACTTTTAATCACTCAAAAAATTGGACATGTAGATATGTAGAATATCAACAAAAAGTTTTTCTTCTAAGAACAACCATCATTTCTGGTTTGACTGACTCCACTTACTGCTACGGAAGAAGTGTCTTCGCCAGAGAGTCACTTGGAAACAAAAGTGCGAAAGCTGCTCTGCATCATTCCCCTCCCTTTCAATGAAAATTTTATTCAAGTCACGAGCTGAAAACCTATGTTGGCTAAAGCTAGTGGAAACATGGCACTCGACCATCTGAATAAACATAAATAAGACTAATTCTTTACATGTTGGGAATAAAGAGATGCTTCGCCAAAAATGTTTGAGCCAATAAATTTATTTATCGGCTTATTAAAGTAAAAATAAATATTTTTGTTTGTCAAAAAACAAGTTATTTATTATCCCTTTCTTTTCTCTAATCATCCAAAAAAATTCATTATAAATAACAGAAACATTTTCGAAAAATTTCGAACAATGAACTAAATGGGAAAAAACGAGTTGCTGGTGGAAATTGATAAGAAAATATTATTGACAATTATTTCCGTCCTAAACCAATTATCGTATCGTTTATTATATAAAACTTAAATACAAAGAAAAGCATAACGATTTATTTTCATATTTTCAGAATGATAATGACAATGTCAACGATGATAATGATAACGGCCCACCGAAAACATTTGATAGATTTTTTTAAAATTTCAATTTTAAATGGATTATCGATTTAATACCGTATATTTTAAAAAAATGGTTATTTTTTATTTTTAATTCTCTAAAAACTGTAAAAGTATTGCAATAATATCGCAAAATCATAAAAATGAGGCCAACCTTTCATAATAGTAAAGTATGATAGAAAAATGATTATTGTTCAGACTATCGTCAAATTAAAAGAATAAATTTATCACTATAAATAACTATAAAATACTATAATAACTATATATCACTATAAAAAGAATAAATTTATAAATAAATATAAATTTAAAAGAATAAAAAATTGTATGGATGGCGCTACTAATACTGACAACTAATAAATTATCAAAAAAATTTTGAAAAAAAGTGATGAATGAGGAAATTTGAAAATGAGAAATGGATAAACTAGAATGAAAAAATGCAAAAAACAACACAAACTGAGACCAAGCATCATCACTCTCACTGTTACTGGTTAGGCTGGTTCCACTGGCTACAAGGGTGAAACGAGTTTCCAAGCTTCATGATCTGATGCCGTCATCGACAGTAATAGATGCCATTCCTTTTTCCATCATCTAACTCCATATATTGCTGGTCTATCTGTACGTTCAAAATCTTTCCTGACTGTAGTCAGCCCAGGATTTGATTGATTCACCTCGCTTTTGAAGCCATTCATCACAGAGTTTGGCATTTATATGAAGAACGTGCTTTAACCAGCGAAGGTGACGCACTGTGATGGAACTATTAACGCAAGTAGTATTTGAACGAAAGTGAAATATAGTCATGTGAAATTTTATCCGCTAGGCAGATCCGCAACATGCATCTTAGATATGAGTGGTCAAAGGAAGATAATTTAATTTAATAATTGCTTTTTAACAATTTAATGATAATAATCCTTGGCCCTTTGACTTTGCCCTTTGATCTCAAACTTCTCTACTTCCTAATTACTAACTGATAAAATTCGCAATCGGAACATTATATGCATATTGTGAGTAATCACTGGAAATATTACGAGTTTAAAACGTGAAATACGTAAATGTGAAAAGTAGCATCTTTACAAATAAAGCGAAAGAAAAATTTTACCTACAACCTGGTTCATCATATCGTCCTTTAATATAAACATGACCATAAAATGCATTTTTAGTACTGAAAGAGACAGTAATATCAATAGGCTCACATCCAATTTCAGGCTTATCAATGATACCATTGTCGATTGGAACAGCTTGAATAAAATAAAAAAATTTGTAAGAAATAAGAACGAATATAATATGATAGATGAATAACGATGATGAGGAAGACATCTGATGAAAGGCAAAACTGGTGAATACGATCGCGACGGATTCACAGAACCAGATGATTCCATAAATGACTATGGAACTGATATCTTGCCATCTTTTTCAATGAACTTAATGAAGGGCGATATCACATCACTACTGATTTCCACTAATAATGAATTTGAATCTTAATTAATTAATTCATGCCTGAAAAAATTTCTTGTAATTTGTCGACCTCGAATCCACTCAAGTTCCGACTCGCATAAATCCACTGGAGAAGTAAGTACCATACTCCCATCCATATAACCGAAATTCCAAAAAATACTTACTAATAAACATGACAAAAAATAAGCGATGGGAATTAACATAATGTTACGTACAACCACAAAAAAAAATATGCCAGAATAATACAATAATCGTTACCTAAATTCTGATGGTTACCTCCCTTCTGGTGGTTCAACCAGTCAATAAAAAACCGCACTGCTGACTGCGCGCTGGGAACCCACTCAAATACAAGACGAAATACAAGACTTTCAGGTGGCACTTATAGGCACAAATGGCTGGCGCCAGTGAGAAAAACCGACCAAATATTCATTTCAATGAGATTTTAAACAAATTATTCGAATTCGGAACTTACTACCGCAATGGTGATTTTAAATGTGGGACGATTAAATGATAAGACTTTACAACACCCTTAAATAAACTTCCCCAACTTTTTTCCAGTTTTCATTGACAAATGAAATGTAAAATGAACAAAACAATGAAAATTTCACACTCGAAGCGCTAAGCTAAAGGTTCTCTAAAAATATTTTCGAAACTTGAAAATAAATTTTAACATTGAGAACATCAAAATGTTTGATATACAAATACTGGCCAGCAAAAAACAACTGCACATGATTTCAAAAAGTAAAAAACAAATTCCCTATAAATCGAATAGAATCTGGACCAACTAAACAGACTTTCTTCCATCTATTGCTTTTTTAGAATAAGATGGTCCACTTCTGGCCAATAATGATGATGTGGGCGATTCTTCTTCCATTTCAAAAGGTAATTTAATCATGATTGTGTGTCAAGAGAAGCAAATTAAAAATGTAATGTGACTAAGTGATAATAAATGCACTGAACATTGGAAGCAAAATTAACAGATCACTTATGAACAAGAGAATCATACAAACACATTCATTAAATGCTATAAAAATAATTCTGAAGCAAATTTAAAAATTTTTATTCGTTTAAAAAAATTTATAACTGAATATTCTTCTTTGAAAGAATTTTATTTCCAAAGAAATCAAAATATGTCGTTTCCAAAAATAAGACTAATTCCATAAATTGATAAGAACATGAAGTGTTTTATAATTGTCAAATGATATAAACGACATATAATACGAGATAATACTTTTGATTAAGCTATTTTTACAAAATGAATCAAATATGAAATCAATATTTGCAGAAATAGTCGCATTTTCATTAGTAAAACGCATCTGTGAATCTCACAATCCAGATGAGACTATGAAGTTCGGCTTTTACCAGCCATTAATCCTTTCCTTCGATAACGATACATTCAAATTGTCATGCGCAACAGAAGATATGACCCGAACAGATGAAGAAAGGATTGAGGTTGCATCGCCAGCCACATGCCCAAAATGATCGATAAGACTTCCCATGTGGTCACTGAAGACCAAATATTTCAAACCAAATATACTTCCCATTCTATTCTGATTGCTGAACATATCAAATAGTAAAGGAAAACATGGTCGGTGTATATAAATTAGTCTATCAACAGACATTTGCGCAACATCAGTACGACCGAAGCTGATTGAGGACTGCTAATATCTCTATAAAATAATTAGTATTCTAAGACAATAGCAGTATCACCAAAAAAATGTTTTATATGCATATTTCATTTAATGTGATTTTTAATTTCAGAAATTCGAAAAAACTAAATATTTTTTCATTTAATGTTGTCGGTGGAATGTTGCTAGTTTGAACTTACATGCAATTAGGGTTCCCTTGGACTCCTTTTATGCGTTCTTCAAACATATCGTGTCGTTCTGTTTTCTTCCAGATATAGTAAAAATGAATCAATTCGCCGACTGTCCTGTGAGGCAACTGGAAAAATTAGCAAATCCAATACAAAGTGAATGTTAGAGTAAGATAAAACATCTAAATTAAAATAAACACAAAAAAATTTAAAAGCCTGAATAAAAAAAATTTTTAATTCCATTTGCAAAAACAATTCCCACAAATTTTAAAAAAAAAGATACTGCCACAAGATGCTGAAAATTACCAAATTCCGTTGAATACTAAAAAAATCCTTTCCATTGATTTCTATACCTCTTTCGAACAACTCGCAATCCTACAAAAGTAGGATGGTATAAAAAAAGAAATTTATTTCATCTGTTTTTTTGAAAGATGAAGATGACGGTCAAACTCGTTCCACTGACTTCTCAGATTTAGAAAAATTTTTGCCAGAGAATCCCTTTATTTTCCCTTGGGAATATTGCGATGGAAGTATAGGGTGAACCACCGTTCTACTCTCCTTTAATTTCTTTGTTATGCATTAAAGTCGTGGTTCGGCTTGATTTGAGCCTAATCCTCTCGGTGGAAATTATCTTACCATTGAGCCACTATGTGGTATTATATAAATTTATAAACGAAAATAATTTTGGTGAATCTTACAAAATTGTAAAATCATTTGCATTTAGATGAATTTATTATATTAAAAAAAGACCCTTAGATTCCATCTTGTTGAATGACCATGAGCTGTGATCCGAGGTGCATTTGCAGATGGAAAAGGAAAATGAGAAAAAGCATCACTAGTGTTATAATTTGCATCCAAAAGACCCCTAAAAATAGAAGTTCACAATGAAGGACAAAGATTTATTTTCAAAAATTCGGGTGGCTTTCAATGAGAAACTAAAAGATGGAAACAGAGAAAATCCAAACTTCAAAGCATTCTCGTCATCACGAAGGTAAGGCTGACTAGTGGTTGGTAGCGATCGTGTGTTATCGGTCCCTCTTGTTGAACTACAACTATTACTATCCATTTCATGGTATCTTCTGAGATAAGACTCCACTTCCTCTTCTGGAAAATTATGTGGCGACCATAATAATTCTTCATAATCTTCACCTCAAAAAAATTCCGTTAATAATCATTTCATTTTTAACAATCATTTTTCAAAAATGGGCAGATAATGAATAAAAAACATTTTTCTTGTAATTGAAAATTGTAATGACCAAAAAATCACTTTCACCCTCCTCCACGACATTTGCGAATCCCGGAATAACGGCTTGGAAAAATGGGCCTATTCGGATTTGCTTACGATAAGGATCGGGTGGAAGATATTCTTCATCGTCATCTTCAGAAAAATAATTTGTATGATGCGCAGCAGCTGGAGAACCTATATCGGCCCTGTCTAAAATAAAATGAATATGAAAATTTGAGAAGAATAAGGAAGAAAATTCAAAAATTTTGAAGCCTTTTAACAAATTTAAAAAAATTTAAAAATTATTAATGAAATTAAGAAATACCATCTGAAGCTGATGACACTTCATCTTCAGCAACAGTAGTTTCATCACCCGATGAGGATTGTTCCGAAACAGACTGAGCATCAACTTCTAATCTTCCATAATAACGCTCCCGTAATTCTTCTAACGATAAATTGGCATCGTCTTCTAGCAACTGCAATTCGTTTACATCATCCTCATCAGTACTTAACATTTCCTCTTCATCCATTGTTCCTGAAATTAAATTAAATAATCAAAAATTTAAAATGTAATGAAAATATAATAAACAAAAACACACCGCATATTAAAATGCCTCTGCCTTCGATAAATGAAAAAAGAATACGCTTCAAAAAAAGAATACGCTTATTTTATCACAGATGTTTAAGACAAATAAAAAAATAATTTATTTCCTGATGAAAATTCCAGGTTAATCATTTGTTAAAAAATAGAAAGTTGAAGAACTATATATTTAAAAAAGAAAAAATCAACAAATAATACGCAATTTTAAGATAAACTAAAACAAACCTTCATCATCAAAACCATCATCGTAAGCTTGTTCAATATTATAATCAAAATCGTTAAACCCACTTCTTGGTCGTTCATCCATCATATCAAAATTTCCAAAAAATGAAAAATTCAAGTTGGAAAATATTTCTGGTTATGACCAAAATTATGAATTAAGTATTTAACAAATAATTAAATAAATTACAACTCTAAAGATAGGAATCATCAAAAATAGTCAAAAAATGCGATAGCCATACTGAAACACCACTTTTAAAGGGAAATAAAATTTTTGATACATATAATGATAATTATCCACTATAATAGCAAAAATACTAAATGAACCAAGATGTCTTTGCTAAAACAGCAGGTTTTGAACCCAGAAGCCTGGTATTAAAAAATAGCTGTAGTGTCTTTAAAGCATGCGCATTTCTATCCCTACCCCAGCGTAAACCCCATGAAAATAGAATGACTTTTCACACCAACCCAGAGTTTACAAAGTTCGTCGAGAAAACTGCGCTATGAATTAATGAAGGATTGCTTCTGAGAGCACACAAAAATTACAGCTGGAGAAATACATTTCATGCAATCTGGGAGCTATTGCACCCGATTTGATGTCGAAACAATAAAACCAGGAATTTATGTCGAAAGAAAGGATTTCATGCAAAAAGTGAGGAATCCAAATCATATGACATTTTCCCAACCTCATAACAAATCAATAAAAACATGAATCACCATAATTTTGAGCTAAAACTTAAAATACATATAAACCACAGGATGCATGACGACAAGACATACAGCTAGAAAAATTCGACCCCAATGACCCACCCTAGACCAAACGACAAACAAGCTTCTCCTGTATTCAATATTTACGAAGGATTACACCCCTTTGTATATCAAATTGACTAGATCTACAATAGAAAGGCAAATTTGCGCAGCTAGCTGTAAGACCCAGGATTTCAAAATTATAATTCTACAGCACGAAAACCCAAAACTAAACCACTTCAAACTTCTATGATTCAAAATCGCTCATAATTTTATTTCATTTTTCTTATAAATGAGAAAAAACACAGAAGAACTGAGGGATAAACATAATCAACCTGAAACTGCAAAATAGAATCACAGCTAAAAATAAATGAGAAACTTTTCTTTGCATACATAAAATATTCATATGACGAAAAATTGTTTAAGAAACAATTGTTTAACGCAAAATCAAATTATTTAAAAATTCCTCTAAATTGATATTTTACATAAAAATAAATATTAAAGGCACTAAATAATGGCTAAAATTCCAAAAAATTTTCGTTCAAATGCAACTAAATTTAATCTACAAAAAATGAACAAAAAAAATATTTGAAATCATAAAAATACTCAAATATCTGGTCCTCACTCCGATCGCATTTTCTATCGTAGCTGTAAGCTTAACTCACTTTGCAAATAATAGGTATCCTCTCGCAGTGAAACACTATTGTCCCCATGCAATTCCATTTTTCCATTATTTATCTTTTTATTCCCTTCTAGCCCTACTAGTGCCAATTAATGAAAATATATGCCAATCGGATAACTGACAAGTATAACTACCAATATCAAAACAAATTGGTGAATACTTTAAAAAAAAACAATTCTTAAGCGAACAAAAATTAAGCTGAAGATTAAGTGAACGCCTGAATATACACGCTAAAAAATACATCACATCATAACCGATTGCACTACTATATGAGCAGGTCGTTATCATAATCATTATTATTATCATTACTTTGAAAGGAAAATATCTGTTAACAGATGAATGTTCGTGGGATAATTAATAAAATCTAAATATTGATAGAATACCATCATTTATTGCCTTTATAAAATTTTGAAGTGATAATAATTCATTACCATGCCATTCCAATCGGCACTGCATTATATTAACTAAATCGAATTCTTGAAAAATGTACCGTTCAGTCTGGAATTCTATCCTTCTAAAAAAAATTTAAAAGATTTAAACTTGGTCATCCTACTGATTATCACGCGAAATTTGACAAAAAACGGGAAAAAATAGATTATCCAAGTTAACAAATCGGGAAAAAAATTAGGCGAAAACAAATGATGAAAAATTAAAATAAAAATTTAAAATGTTGAAAATTTAATCAGCAATAAATTAGCAAAATAATTTAGAAAAAATACGATTAAGTGCCAAAATCTAATTTGGCAAAGAAAAAAAACAAATATAAAATCTACGCACAATTGAGTTACAGTGTAGAATTTCAAACAATATTTACCTACACCGATGGCTAAAAATCAAACATCTGAGTGATATACTATTGATCAAGCAATTTAAATTGTGCTTCATATTGTCCCTTCTTATTTTGGATTAATTAGTTCCTCATCAAATTTAATTAATTAATTTTAAGTTGAATCAACTTATATTACAACCACCTTTATGATGTACTTCCATGATAGTTCCGTGATTATTTTTTCTCGATTTACAACTTATTTTTCGCCGCATCAGACACATAATTGATGATGAAGATGTAAGGTTGCTTTTTGGAGTAGAAGTAACAACTGTTTCCCTCAAATCCTATAAAATGAAGAGTTCTATAATAAAAGTTCTAGAATAATATAACATAATTAACATAAAAAATATAAAAATAAAGGATTTAAAAAGACTTTTTGAAAAAAAGTCGCTTAGTTACTACTTGATAAACAATAAACAATCTTGCCTGATTAAATTTAGAGCAAGGGTTCAACGATAGGCAAATATCTTGTGATTTGCCTGAAGGTAGCATCTGTTGACCAGTTGAACCTGAAATAAAAAATTCTAACAAAAAATAGTAAAAGATCTCAAAAATTAATTTTGATTCATAAAAACAAACGATTAATGTAAGTAGGCTGACTGCCATAGGAAATATTGCTATTGTTTTGTTTGAGAAACGTGCTGTCACTCAAAAAATTGTTATAAGATGGTAAATTAATAGTTACTGAATCGGCTGCAGCCTAAAAAACTGATTTCTTTTATTTATCAAATAAATTTATATCAACCGGTATGGTTTAACTTTTTAACATAAATGTCTTTGCTAACTTGTTCATTTTTTTTCAGTTGATTCAGTTCAGAAGAGCCAATACAATTATTAGAATTTTTTTGTTCTATGTACATTGACAAAAATACTCTATGCTTAATATCTGCGGGAATCACTTCTCGATGATTCGATGGTCGGCGATAACAGGATAAGCGTGGAAACGTCGAAGTGAAATCTTTTCGAGAAAAGGCAGAACAAGGAAATGAACGGCTTCGGCGTTGCCTAAATCAAACAATTTCGAGTTTCACAAACAATTTCGAGTGTTCAATCGAAAAAAATTTAATAAATTAAAAAAAATTAATCTGTTAAATTAAAAATTAACTTTGGAAAATGCAAGAATTCAACCATAGAATGACATACTATATTCCGTATTAATGGCAAAATATAATAAATTTAGAAAATAGTAAGATAGTAAATAAATGAACATAAAGATATTTTTTTTTGTACCATCACTTTTCATCACTTTTTCCACATTTAAAAAAATTCATTTCATTTTTCATGTCTTGTCCACTTTTATTTCATACTATACAGTTGTTACGACTGTTGCAAATATGAAGAAAAAAAATTACTTAAATTCTTTATTTTTTCGTTTTCGATCATTATTTTCAACATTTACTGTCATATTGAATGATGCAATATTTTGCCTATAAACTTTTTTAATGAAGAAAAACATATATTTCATAAAACAAATTATGCTACTTTTGAAAGTAAAAAAAATTTGGATTGTTAACGATCATTTAATGAAAGACAAACCTATCAGTAATCGAATTTATATGCATGAAATGACTTTTATTATCATTAATTTTTTCTTTACGAACATTTTTGCGAGAAATTTTGAAAAGCCCCAGTTTTCGGGTGGTACTGTAGATTTGATGATTTAAAAATGGATTTCCACGAATGGAAGATTCCTGCAAATAAATATAAATAATACTGGAAATAAGAATATACCTTGCAAGAAAATCCTGATTTGAAATAAGAACTTGCTTCATCAGATAATTCTTCTATAGCGATGCTTCGAGCAAGTTCTTCCATTTGTAACTTCCTGCCAAATTGCTCTTTGTCAAAGCCGAAATTCTCTTTAGAAGAATAACATACACTTTGAAAATTTTCAATACTTAAACGATTTTGATTTTTTGATGTTTTCCTAGATTAAATATGAGATATAAAATATGAGATACAATTAGAGATATAAAAAATCATTAATTTTCGCCATTAGACATCCAAAATATAAACATCACGAATAATAAAAAATTGCTAAATTATTAAATATACTTTGCTGTTAGACGAAATCTGAAGGGAATAGATTGACGCACTGACGTACAATATTGCTGTGAATAGCGACTTCTGCTGGTGGAAGTGAAAGCTGCATCGGACATTGAACGTCCCAACTCTTAAACTTATAATGAATTTGTAACTTGAAAAGAAAAATAAAAAGCAACAAATAAAAGCAAAAAAAATTTTCAGTTTGGTTGAACAAACTGTTTTCCTTAAAGTAAGATTTTTCAGAGCTTAATTGGAGGATTAAGATATAAGTGGACTCCTATTTCCTTTTTCACTTCAGTTTTAACTGAAGACCTATTGTGCCAAGAGACAAGAATCGAATCTAATTAATATGAAAATTTTCAAAAAATTTCGCACCATAACAAACAAAAAAAGGGAAATAAAAACTTTACTTTGTTCAGTAACTAGTGACTGACTGTCGAAATTTCTAGCAGTAACATGATCTTTCCACTGCCGATAAGTAAAACTATTGAGGCGATCATATATTCTGGAGAAAGAAGGTCGGCCAGTGGGATTCATCTAAATTTAGGATTAATTTGTAAACCTCAGCTTTTTATATTTGACTATTTGATTTTAGGCAGATGAATGGAACCGACCAAGCAACAGTGAAAAGCAAGTTGAAGAAAATCAAGTGGTGTATCATTTTCACAATATGCCGTAAAACGAACATAATCTAGACCAAAATTATTTGTTCGGCAAAGACCAGCTTCTGGATCGGCTTCTATACGAGCAATCATCTGACAAAGAATTATTCCATATGAGAATATATCCGCCTAAAAAATTTAATTATGAAGATAAACAGAAAAAATATGACTAATTATTCCCATGAAATACATCGAAAGACAAAAAAGACTTTTTCATTATAAAATTCTTCTTTCAAACATTCCGGAGCCATCCAGAATGGTGTCCCCACTTGAACCAACAGTTCATTTCTTGAAGGAATTGGACATGAAAGCCCAAAATCAGCCACAACTGCTTTCAAATTACCATAAGGCAATGTCTGGAGCAGCACATTCTATAAATATTATAAACAAATAGACAAATATAAATAAACCGTTGAATAAAATATTTAACAAAAGCAAAAAACTAAAACATTAAAAAAACTATACAAAGAAAAGGTAAAATTTGCTAGAAATATTGTAGAAATTACATTCACTGCTTTTAATTACAATTATAACAACTTTAAAAAACTATAACAACTTTAAAAATTTATCACCATTATTAATTCAGATTCAAAATTAAAATGGCAAACAAAGTGGCGCTTAACCACAGACAAAAATAAGAAAGATAGCGAATATTTTCATTTAACCACGCAAAATAAAGAATTAAGAATGCGATATGTAAGTATAATCTATGTTTTAAATATTCTTAAGTAGTTTAATATTTATAAAATATTCATATAAATAATACAGTAAATAATAATAAAAAATACTTATTATTCGTATATTGTAAGTTTGGATTTATGGTCAAGCTAATACGATAAGGAACAAACCATGCTAGTGAGATCACGATGCATAACATTTTTCGAATGCACGAAACACATTGCAGCAGAAATATCTTTGGCCAAAGCGAAACGCATTTTCCATGAAAAAGACCTACTTCGATCTGTAATAAGTCGATTTAAACTTCCACCATCACAGAAATCAACCAATATATGCATATTCCATGTACCGCTACATGAATCGATACAAACACCACTAAAATATAAAAATATATAAAAATAAGAAAAAAATCTTTACCACATTTTCATAAATTTTTACAAATTTCCCTAAATTTTGTAAAAAAAATATTTTAAACAACAAATAATAAGGATAATAACAAATGGACACTGATTTAAAAACTTTGAGTATTAACCGAAATTCGATCAAATTTGGATGCGTGACTAGTTGATTAAGTACAGTTATTTCTTTCATTATGTTCGCCTTAGCACGAAGCCGATTTTCACGCTCTTTTACGATTTTCAAAACCATCACTTCATCTGTATTGTTTAATTTGACCTAAAATGCATAACTAATATGACAATATTTTTCTATTCGACTATTTAGTATTTCTAACAAATTAAATCGAAGATGGTTTTCAACATAACAAAAAATGCATATATGTTCCAATGAAACCTTATATACATTGCTGAAAAATCCTTCACCCAAACTTTCCAAAATTTCAAAATCTTCCTTTGGATAAATGCGCTTTAATGCTTTCTCGAGAAAAAAGCAAGATGTCGGACCTGGCGCCTTCCGAGGATGACGGTGATTAATCGAAATTGAATTCTGGTCGTAATTCTTCAAAAAATAGGTTTATAGAAGGGAAAAAATTTCTTAAAAATGTTGAAGATTTTTCAAGTTTTAATATTATATTATCCATTATATTATTATATTTTTCAAGTTTTCCATTTATTATCCAATATTATCCATTTGATAAAAAAATCAAGAACTAACAACAGCAAAAGAGTCTGAACATTGCATAAAAGATGTTGATGGCACTGAAGAAGATACGGCAAATGAAATATCGTACCTAAAACATATCTGTATATCCTTTCTTAGGAGCTTTTACCATTACTGGTTAAACTCGCTCCCCTGGCGCGCTGGACAAATATGCCAAGGAGTCCCTTGGCGATCGAAGTACAGGTGAATCGCCAGCATTATTAGGAATTTTGGACAGGTTTACTCCTGTGAGGATCAGAACTTTAGCATCGGTGTTCCGAACTGAACAACTAAATCAACCTACTAAATTATTCTGTTCAATTTGTATTCTAATACTTATTTATAAAAATTGCATTTATGCAAGAAAAAACCGATCTGCAAATGCGTATATTTTCGAATTCTTATTTCATTTTCAACCAGTAAAAGTGGAAGGTTCCCAAAAATAAAACAACTATTAGGATAACTTCCAGGAAAATGTGTAAATAAGAAAATAAGATTAGCTAATTTTACAGCAACTTTAAAACTTCAATAAAAATTTAAGATTTTCAAGAATTCAAAAATTATTTAGCAAATGCGGCGATTTCGATTGAATTTTTGAATAATTCTTTAAGCGATCCAAGAATATGAAATAAAAAATCTACTTCTTATCACTTGAATCTGACGGCAGCATAGCACATGTTGTCGGTTCAAAATGGTTATGAGAAATCTGGTTCGATGAGAAACTAAAAGAATGAATGAAAAAAAACTTTAAAGAGGGAAGTGCAATATGAAAATCGAAATTTTGAAAACCACAAATTCCAGCTTTAAAACGCAAAAATATTTACTTAATTCATTTAAGCAAAATTTAAGTAATTTCGAAAAATTTCTTATATACAAAAAAAATCACAAATTTTCTTACTGCATTGAAGTCCGATCTGTCGTAATTTCTCCATTCGTATTCAAACTATCAATTACTATCGCCATTCTATTGCTTCTTTTTCAAATAAACGATTTCTGATAATCACCATTCAATAAAATAATCCTCATCAATTACTTTTTTTAATAAATTATAAAGTTGATTAAAGTTAAATATGGGCCAAAATAAAATGAAATTTTCTTCACCTTTTTTTCTAAATAAATATCAACTCATTAATAAACCAATAAATATTTTTATTGGTGGAAATGACAATTATATTTTCGAATTAAACGAAACTTTAGCAACGAAACGATTAATATATAATTTATAATTTTCGACAAATAAATAAAATATTAAGAAGTATTAACAAAAATTTGATGAGAATCAAAGTTGCTAAAGTAAACAAATGAATCATGAAAAAAACAAAAAAAATAAGGAAAAACTTGCGATTCCATCAAATTTACAATGCTTCAAAAGAAAAAAACTTTCTAAAATGAATTCTTTTTCAAGTTTTAATATTATATTATCCATTATATTATTATATTTTTCAAGTTTTTTTCAAGAATCAGCAAAACCAAATTTCAAACATCGAAATTTTATAACTAGGTTTGACTATATTACAAATTATATAACTAGGTGGGAATACTGGATGAAAAGACAGCAATAAAAACATTAAAATATTCCTTAAAAAATTGGCCTTTTTCATAACTGATTAAAATTTGATGGAATCAAAATTGATCGAATAATAAAATTTTTTTTGCGGTTTAAAATGCAGACCATGTCATTGAATAATTTAAGTAAAAATTGAACGCTACATGACTTGTATTAAGAATTATAAAAAGCATATACGTTCTGATTAACTTCACAATTATTTGGTTATGACATATTTGTAAGCTTCATAATTTTTCGTAGCTATTCAGGAAGAAATTACTTGCTGATGTAGCGATAAAAAATATCCTCAAACCATTATAATTAATGTAATAATCTTAGAAGTGCAAGACTTCACCTTTAATAAAAATAACCATTAAAAAACCAGAAGGCGGCAAAGAAAACTTCCCCATTTAAAAAAAAGGTTGAATCATCAATGTAATACTAATATTTTATCATTTGTGAATACTGCTGCCATTTAACTTATGATCGATGTGGGCGAAGAATTCTGTCGGTTTGTGTTTCATTAATTCCTTACATTGTTCATAGAGCTACGCATGATGACAAATATTTGCATGGAAAATTATTTCTGGAGCAGGAATAAAATGACATCCGTTACAAGTGCAGCTAAAAATAATTTGGAATTAGCCTAATTTTTTTTATAAAAATTCGGCAAAAAATCATCTAAACATAAAACTGCCATTAAAACGAATTAATTAATTAAATAAAAATCTAATCAAAAAACACGGAAAAATCTGAAAGTTCTGAAAAACTAAAAGTTATGTTGCGGAACAAAAACTGCTGAAAAAACATTCGAAGGCAAGGCAGTGATCTGAACTTATAGATTAGATGAAAATTTTAAAGCAATTGAGGAAATTTTACTAAATAAAAAAAAAAATCCTTATAATTACTGATCTGAAAATTTTACATTCAAAATAATATATATTTTCAAATATTTAAAAAGAAAAAAAAACCAAAAATAAGCATTAATATTAATATTAAATATATGGAATAAAAATGTCAAATTTACAAAAAATGATGAAAAATCTATTACAAAAGAAAGAAAACATTCGAAAATATCAAAACCCAGAAAGGATTAAATCCATTAATCCAAAAGGAAAAATAACATTCATTCGTAAATGCAAAATAAAAAATAATAACAGTAGAATAACAGAAATAACTACTCTCCAATAGAATACAACATTTTCATTTGGATAGCGCCATCGACCACTAGATTAACGGGAAATTGCTTGAAAACGAAATAAGAAGTGGACTTTGAATGGACCACCTCTATTCACTTTTAATATATTTAATACACAATCAAAAAAACGACAAGAACTGTTCGCTTTCAGTCATTCAATAGTTTTGCAAATTCCATTTATCCACTCTGTTGCAAAATATAAGTAATGGCTCAGATATCATTATTCGGATTTCACTATATTTGCGAAATCAAAAATATTAAATTTTCAACGGTAATAAATTCGAGCAATTAGCAATTATGGTACTCACTAAATATTTATGGGGTACAATGAGTTGTTGCTCGATTCAGAACGCCAATGCTGAAGTTCTATTCCTCGCAAGAATAAACCTGTCCAAAAATCCGGGATGCCGGCGATTCATCTGCACTCCAAGATACTCCTTGGCATAAACATCCAGTACGATAAGCCAGCGGATCGAGTTATATCAGTAACGGTGAGGACTCTAAGAAAAAAAACTCACCATATAATTAGATGCTTCTTTTTTTTCTCCTTTATTTTATACTAATACATCGCATAAATAAATCTGCGACAAAAAATGAAAACTGTGTTATAATCGCGTAAATGACCATTGATTAGCCTTATAAAAACCGTGCAGATGAAGATTAAATTAAGATTAAGATGAAGATTAACAAATCAGTTTTCGTCATGAATTTTCCATTCAACTTCTCCATTCATGCAATTTGATTTTTCTCTGTATAAAAAATTTTTTCCTTTGCTTCGAAAATGCCCTTTTGGTATAACTCAGTTATCTTTAGATTACTCGCAATCGATCACTTTCCCAGTTATAAAAAAAAGAGAATAAAACTCTTAAAAATAAGAAAGAAGCACGACTGACTATTAATATTCATTGTCAAAATACAAAAAAGGGATAAAATATTCCTCAAATCTTTGATTTTTAACTTTTTTAATGATTTTTGAAACTAATAAAAATAATAATTTTAAACAAATGTCGAAATTTAAGAAAACTTATTGTTGAAAAATGTGTTTTGAAAGAAACATTCCAAATAAATGGTTTTAAACTTTAACTTCTCAAAGGAAAACAGAAAAAAAATAATAATAAAATCAACCGCATTAAATCCACTTTTCTTATATATTTTTTAAAATAAATTCGTCGACATTTTGCGATGTTTGAAAAAATCAATTGGCACAAACTGATGGGAATCCGAATATGGGCAAACCATTAATCTCGCCGATTTCCCAACCATCTTTAACAAACTTTCACCAGTTCAAAAGACACCACTCAAATCGATAAAAAATTTCACTTAAAAAAAGGCGAAGACGAAAATCGAGAAAATTTTCGCTACTAAATGGCAGTCGCGATACTTAAAAACTCGTTTTAAGAATTACATATTTGAAAATGTTTGCATTTTCACTTTAACAACTCCATTCCCTTCACTTTTAATCATATTTCTTATGAAATGCAGTGGTTATTAAATGATTAGAGAAAAAAGAAAAATATTGTTTTTTTTAGGGAACTTCGCAAACTTTTCTCGACACATTTAGTTATTCTTAGTTCATTCTGTAGAAAAACTCATCGGTTAGGTGGACATCAACCATTTTCATTCATTGGACGAGGTCGAGGAGGACGAGATGATATTATGAGATTTTATTTGCAGACTGCATTAAATTTTATGTAATACAAATAAAAAAACATTCCTGGAAGTATTTTTTTGACAACTGCGATTTACTTGTGTAACAGCGTCCGTAAGAGCTCGCACGACTCCGGTCCATTCAAGGTTGAGCTTACGCCTAAATTCGCACGCAAAGGCAAGGCAACGTTTAGACGAGCAATTAACGACGAAGACTGCAACTTTAGTGGCTTAAGATAAATCAGAAAATTTTTAAAAAATTTTCTTGTGGAAATTTAAACATTAAATATATGAAAATAATGGAACACGCAATCAATCTTATAATTTGATCGTTGCATTACGTAATATTTGTCTGGTAATTTTACCTGTTTTTTGTATATATTTGCATGATTTTAATATGAATATATCAAATATATCTATTATCTATTTTAATTGCCTTAATGATAATGATTTGCTTAATTTCCATATTTTTATGAATCTGTTTAATTTCAATTAATTGTTCAAATAATTAATTTGTTAAATCATTTATGAATTTTGAGATTATCAGAAGCTTATCAGTTAGATAAGAAAACCACTTGATAAATAATTTAAATTTACTTATATTTGCCAAGAATTTTACAAGAACTTTGTAGTGATGTTATTAGCCACTTTATAATTTCTTCGAAGAATCCATCACTTTCAGGAAGAATATAAGTGGATCCCCAACACCAGCCCCATTACAGGTTACTGGAAGGTTATGATTCTAATATGTGTATATATGTAAATATTTAATGTATAAAAATGTATAAAATTATATCTTTCTCATCGCTTTGGGTGTTATGGGTCGTCCTCAATCTTGGGTTACAGGTCTGGTCTGGCAGCTTGAGGGTTTTATGCTCTGTCTTAGCTATTCTTAGAAGTGTACTCTTCTGGGTAAAAATGAATAAGGTTGTTCCTGAAATTCGCTAGAGCCATTTTCCCAGTTTATATCACTGGAGCTCCTACCACTGGGAGTACTTTGGCCTTCACCTTCTACTTCTTCTCTCGTTCACCTTTCAGTCTTTGCTATTTCTCTAGATATATACATGCATATTAAGGTTAATGATTTTGACTTATAAAAAATTAGGTGGTTGTTTTCCAATTGAATGTTATATTCGTCAAAATTTTTCAAAAGTTAAGTGAATCAGAAGGGAAAAAGAGTTAAAATAAAAGAGAAGTAAAGGAAATAAATAATTACTTAAAATTTTATATAATAATGAAAAACTCTCAACAATCATCTATCAAATATGTAATTGGAAGATAGTAACTCAGGCTATTACGTTGGGAGACAACGGTTCAGCTTTTACTCCTTACTAAAGCTGTCTTTAAAAAATCTTGGTGGATTGACGATCCACATGCATCTTATCGCAAGTGATTCCCTGGCAAAAATTCTAGCCATACAGCCAACGAAATATTTACTTATTATTGTACAGTTATCATAATTTAGACAGTGTATTTTTTTAAAATATATACCTGCAAGCTTATATAGATAATTCTATTTTGATACGGTTTTTGTGCAAACTCTTTTTTAACAGCAAACTTATCATTTCTAATTTAACTGCCATTGTGGAATTTATTTTCCAGAAAATAATTCAATAACAGAAGTACAGCCAAGTTTTTAGCATCACCCCAATGTAAGTGAATGATTAATTAAGTTCCGACGATGAATTAAGATCACTAAATATCAACAAACACTAAAAAATTTCAACAGAAAATTCTGAAAATTCGTCGAAGAACATTTTATCGCAACAGCGCTTTGTGTAAAATTTCTGCATCTTGGATTGAAATAAATGTTCTCAAACTTAATACTCTCTATAATAATTTATTTTAACGTAATTTTTCTATTTGGCTCGGAATTCAGAGGAGGATTTTTCATATCGAACTCGTTTATTATTCTTTTAAGCATACGAAGCGTGAGATTAACGAACGATATCACAGCTCTGTTTTATTTTGAGTACACAGTTTAATCATTTAAGTATTCGACTTTCTCATTGTTGTTTGCTTAGTGCCAATTGTAGTCAATTGAAGAGGATATTTTCATTATATTAAAGTTTTTGAAGCACTTGAAGAAGGAATTATTGAAATTTGAAAGAAAGAAATTAAAAAATAAAGAATTTTATTCCTGTGGGAACGCGGTGAATTTTTTCTTTACCCCATTTAAATTTATAAATTTACAGATTTATTCGTACACTTATCTTCTTTTTCTATTTTCACCATTCACCATTTCCGGCTTACTTGGCTGCATTGGCTACTAAAAAGTCATTCATGGATAGCAGAGTAGATGCTTAGCAGCATGCCGAATTCTATGCCTTATAATGACGGATTCGCTGGCGTCAAGAAACCAAAACCAAAGATGCTGCTTTAAGTAAGCGTGCAGAAATAGTTCTTTCACTTCTAATCTTTGGCTTTTTTTCCTATACGATATTCCCACTGTGTCGTGAAAAACTGAAGCATCTATCTAAAATAACAGTCGATAATAAAAATATTCGAAGGCTGATCGTATAAAAACAAAGTAATGAATGACTGGTGTGAAAATTCGGCGTCGATTCATCTTTAAAGAAAACGGAGTTTTGGCAATATCGCGGAAAGAACTTTATTTACAATGAAATACTTAGCCGAACTTAAATGTATAAAATGTTCAAAAGATTTGATTCGGCGAATGATTTCGATTTTTTTTTTTTGAGGCAAAAGGAGACTTGTCATTTGATGTGATATTGATAAACAGTTATGGACAGTTATGGATAGTTAAATAAAATTAGTTATGACGATGATTGTCTTAAAATGATATAAATCGGATGGGACAAAAATGAATAATTTCCTAAAAAAAATTCGTTATATAGAAAGCGATACATCCACAAATACGAATTTTACGAATTTTAGATACGAATTTTAGTGGGAAATCTTTAATCGTTTAGCTCATCCAACTGACCAATAAATCACCATAAGTACCATTTCCGTTACATATAATTCATTATTGTAGTAAATTTATAATTAAACAAATAATCGGTAAAATAAACAATTGACAAATAAATTGAGAACTCCACCCATATGAAATAAACTAGCCACCTGCTTTTCGTTTATTGGTTAATATAGGTTGGGAAATCACAGCGAATTTCTTAAGCTTTAAGAAACGGTATTCAAACGAAAATGCTGCCTGGTTCATCGGTCCATTTTTCTGAGTTTAAGGATCAACGAGAACGCAAACCGAAATGTGCTCGATGCAGGAATCATGGTCTTGTTTCATGGCTTAAGGGCCATAAGAAATATTGCGCATTCAAGTGGGTTTTTTTAAAATGGATTTAAAATGTTTTGAGAATTTTATCCATCCATTATTATCCATTAATCAAATGATCAGAATTTGATTCAATTTATTATTTTCATTTGCTTTAACTCATTCTACGAATTATAAACTATTTATTTTGAATTATCCAGAGGCAAAAATTTTTCGAGCTTGCTATAAAGCTTGATAAAACTACATAATGGATACTGAATCAACTACTCACAGTCTGACGTGTCAATGAATCAGACTATTTGTTAGCAAACTGAGTTCGATTTCTGTCACCGACAGGATCAAATCTCACATCAGCCGGAGTGGTGCCGCGACTCATCTGTAGTTTTAACCATGAGACTTTGTAGCAAGATTTTCTGGTCATACTAACATTCACCGGAGTTAATCTAACGAGAAAATGTAACCACTTACCTTTTTTTGCATGGGTGCAATACGGTGAAATCTTAGGACTAATAACAGTCCAGAAATAACAAATAGATAAGTTTATGGGTGGCATTTTCCTGAAAATTGTTGAAATTATCTTCAATTAAATTCTTTAAAAAATTATTTTGGCAATATTAAATAATATATATTTTTTATACATATTTGGAAAAACGTCAAAAAATATATGTCGAATTACACACTATATTTATATTTTAGATTATATTTATATATATATTATATTATATTATATTATATTATATTATATTATATTATATTATATTATATTATATTATATATTATATTTATACATATTTATATTATATTTATATTTATGAGATTATATTTTTAGCATTGCAACTTTTTTTACTTTATTTGCTATAATATTAATAAGAGATTCCTCACCATTACTGGTTAAACTCGCTCCTCTGGTTTGTCACATATGCCAGGGAATCCCTTGGCAATAGAAATACGGGTGAGTCGCCAGCATCACCCGAATTTTTGTACAGGTTTACTCTTGCAATGAATCGAACCTCAGCATCGGCGCTCCCAATCGAACAACCCATTGAGCTATTCACTCCATTTTACTTACTACATATATAAATTTTTTTTATGTTATAACTTATTTTAAGAGTAATCTAGTTCTTTGCATCAAATGCCAATTTTGTTGGAAAATCTAACAATAAGCTGAGAATGATTTAAGAATATTTTAGATTTTGTCGACCACAATTTTTTTCCAATTTATTCGAATGAAAAGATAGAATTTTAATGAATAGAATATGGAAATTCTGAAAGTACATTGCATATAAACATTAAAAGTTCTACATTTCTTTATTATTTATTATTCTTTATTATTTTCATTCCTAGAAACTGTATTTGTGAGAAATGCAATTTGATTGCGGAACGCCAAAGAGTGATGGCTGCACAAGTAGCACTGAAACGGAAACAGGCAGCTGAAGATGCCATAGTTCTGGGACTTCGAGTCGTGTCAGGCGAATGCACATCTATGGATCTACCACAAGGTCCACTATGGCCCTTTCAACAAGTTCCTGCACAAGAAGGTATAATCAATCTCAGATCATCAATCTTGAAATTAATTTTATGAAAATATTAAATTTTAACATATTATGTTGGAAATTCACTATACTTCTGTTCCTAATGATTGTCTGAAGGATTTCATCCTAGTTATACTAACAAAATTTTCAAGATTTTTTGGCATCTATCAGTTTCATTTTTTATTCTCTATCGGTTCTTTTTTAAGCCCACAATTTAAGGAGGAAAAAATTATAAAAATTAAGGCCTAAAATTTTCATTCTGCCTTGTTGTTATCTTTAAATCGCAAAATATATTTCAGAATACCATGAAAAAAATTTGACAACAATGATTAAAAGTCCTCCTCCTTTGCCTGAATCAACTACAACTGAAATGAATACCACTGACCAATCGGAGCGGCGACATCTTGAAAAATTATCTTCTCTAGAGCTATTGCATGTTCTGTTCGCAGATCAAGAAAAACGAGTGCTGGAGCTTGTACTTGAGGGATGTAATGGTGAAGTATTAAGAGCAATTGAATATCTTGTATGTTTACGAAAATCCACGGAAGTTAAAACTTCTCGTTATGATTTTTCTATGAATAATCTTTTATCTGAGAAGAAAAACTCAAAGTTTCTCACCTGAAGCCTTTCTTCAAAGAACAGTTGTATTCCTAAGTGATTCCCTAAAAAATTGGTCTCATCCAACTAGCTTAGTCGAGTGAACCTACCAGAAATGATGAAATGATGAATATCTGCTCTCTTATATCATCATCTATTGTATCATTAATACTGTAATTCTGCGAATATTTTCCCTTTCTAATTTTATTTTTGCTTTTTAGAATTAATTAATACAATTAATCAAATTAATTAGCTTGGTTTCATTGAAAAGTGGTTTGGTTCTTCACTGAATTTTAGACTGGAAAATTTATTGTTCACTATAAGTGAAGGATTTTGGTTCGCTAAAAATTTTTTTCAAATTTTTGTGCCTTTTTTATTTTCTTATGCTTAATAAATTTTTTTATTTTATTATATTTATATTCAATGAAAATTTTTATATGTTAGATTGCTCTTCTTACCGTAATCCAAATGAACAATAGCTATAAGCTAGTTGCCGATTTATTGCTTATCTATTTATCATTTGATTGTTTCAAGCGATAAGGTTTAGGAATCCGATTCGGTAATTTGAGCCCAGTTGAGATTCATTTTCTTATTAATGCAATATTTAGTATTTTAGACGACGATTTAAAGTTGATTGTTGCACAATATTATATGCTCTCTATTATATAAATAGTTACCACTTGGTAATAATTTCTGTATTGCGCTTCCTGGCGTAATTTGATTTCGCACTTATTCTTTAAATTTCAACCTCATTAAATTCATAAATGCTATTTACTGTAAGTAACGATTGTCAAACTGTAACCGTCAATTGTACGAACTTTAGCGGCTGCCATATTTGAAATCGCATCTGCAACGATCCCTCACAGAAGAGAAAATAACAGAGCAGTGAAACGCAGACAATGTTACTGAACCTAGTTTTATTAGTTTCCATTCGAACAAAAATGCGAAGAATATTTTCCTCAAGAATAACCTTCAACATCATACATTCATCTAGTTTTCTTTTTTGGATAGTCTTTGAGTGTATGAATTTTGCTTTTAGCAGTTGAGTGGTAAATTTTTCGCATTTTAGCAGTAAAGAGATAGAACATTCTAACAGCTAAGTGAAACTGAAATTTAATCATATAAAAAGCTTCTAGTACCTGTCGCAACTGCAGAATATCGGAGTCTTCATAAATAACTGCAGAAGGCCAACCTAAGAAAAATAAGACTGGCTATTAGCCATATGGCCAATCGAAATCAGAACGTTGACATATACATATCCATCGAACATATTCAGTATAATTAAAATCATATAATATTTCAAAAAACAAGTCGGCATTATCCTTTACTTTATTGAGCGATAAGAGATACCTTTGGTATGTAAAGCGAAAAGAATATTTTGGAACATAATAAGATGGAGGTTAAACAAATATCGCTTATTATGATATTGGAAAACAATGAAATACTTATGTGTGAATCGGATTAATTTGCCGTTATGATGCTTGGTAATCTTATAACTCTTTTCTATAAATAATTGGATATCGAATTATATCGACAAATTCTTCTCTTCATCACGAAGTTATCGTTGGATTATTAAGTGAGTATACAAGCGTAATATATAAAGTCATTTTCTAACAGTGCCAACAAAATTTTCCGATACTATAGATTATAACTGAAAATAGCAATTTACATTTCTTAGCTCACTTTGCGATAGGAATTGTATACACAGAAATTAAAAATAAAATGAATTAATTTTATGCTGAAAAATCCTCTATCACCAAAAAGCAAAAAATTTTTTTATGATATCCGTTGGATTAATTGCCCTATATCGTTTTGGTGGATGGAATAGAGATAAACTTTTAAATAGATGATTTATAAAAAAGTGGATAAACCATGGTAAATCCTGATGATGTTGAGGACCCAGTTCTATCCTCACACGTCTCTCTGGCGCATATATCTCAACTTATCTCAACTTAATAGCCAGTGGAGTCCGCCAAATCGAAAATGATGAGTGCTGCTAGTAAGAGGGATTGAATTTTCTTTCATTTCAATATTTTGAATGATGTCCACTGAAAACATTACAATTTTTATCAGAATTCCTGTCTTCCGGCTCGATTATTTCGTCGCTTCTTTTATTGTTTTCAAATGTTTTCAAATATGACAAAAATGGTTAATCATTAACTATAAATTTAGCTATAAAGCACTTTTTTTAAGATAAAAAAAATGGCGAAAAATTCTCCGAAAACACTGCATAAAGAATGCGGTGAAAAATGCTGTTTGATGTAAATTATCTGAAATGATATATTTTCACTGGAAAAGTTTTTGCAAGAAATCATAAAATGCAAATTTTAGAATAAATTTTTTTGCGAATTCGAACTTTCTAAGTGGAGAAATCATTAATTATTTAATGAATATTTTAACTAATCTTATCAATTAATAATTTAAAATTGAATATACAATTTAATTTATTTAACTTAATTTATTCAATATTTAATCTGTAAGATTTTGAGAAACTTTTTTGCAGTTTATTTTGCTGCAAGTTATTGCAGCAACATAGCTGCCAACAATTTCCATAAGCTTGTGTGGCTTAAACAATCATAAGCGTTCTGAAACTGCATGCAGCCAAAAATCTCGCTACAACTAGAGCTGACATTGCTCAATGGTTTTAGAGTAATTCTCTTCGTTCGCGTATTTGCTTGCCTACTTCACGTATTCTTGTGCAGGTGACTGAGTTAGGAACATATGCGAATCGAAAACGCAGATGAAAAGGCCTAAATCCACTGCGGGACTACTTACAGGAGTTAAGCCATCAGTTCGATGCTAACTGACAAATTAAAACACCTTGGATTTAGGCCTCTGACGTTGGAATTTATCGAATGCTGAGAGTATTAAATCTCTTTCCTTGCTCCTTCGTAAATCAAATCAAACAAACTCATAGAGTAAAAGCACTGGAGATATTTTATCTTCCAAGCGATAACACTGACTTCATTTCGACTGGATTCTCTTTTCCAAAATCTGCAGTTGCCTATAAAGAAAATGAAGAGTTTTCCTCCTTTAAGAAAGTTTGCTTCTGCTTTTTAAATTTGCTCAGATTTCAAAATTTACCATCTGCTAACCACAAACGACCTCTTCCTCGCTTTCACCAAAATTCACCAAAGTTTTCCTTTTAGTAAAATTCCACGACACATTTTAACAAACGACTGGCATTGAATAGAATGTGTTTTACTAAGGGTTTTACAAATCCAAAACTGTAAAACTGTAAAACTGACCGAACTTACATCCAAAGCAAAGGGCATCGTGCAACGGGCTTCTCCAGGTTGCATTTCCATTTCTCACTTCGGAAGCGAATTTTTGAATTGCATAACACAGTATACACTTTGATACCAACGGTGATAACCCCTTTCCACTCATACGTTCTAGATAAAACAAGGCAGCGCTTCACCACCTCACCTCTTACTGTGAAAGTACCAACTGTAAAAACCTAGAATTTTATTTTTCATGTCGACTGCAAAATAGACGTAACATCGAAGATTAGCAAGCTGAGAGTTAGTATATCTTCCAGTTTAAATGTGCATACAAGTACTGCTTCTTTAAAAGCAAAAGCTGGGTGTTCAGTGCCGGGCAACATTCCTTGCTTAGGTTTGCCCTGCTGTTGTTAGTTAGGAATTTAACGATATAAATATTGGTGGGTCCTTGGCAGTCCCTGGATTTAGTGGCTTCACTCCTGGAAGAGCCGAATCCCGTCAATATGACAGTGCTGATCGCTTTCCGTTAGGCTTTCTTGCTAGATATGTTTAATATTTTTAGTTTTCAGAAAATATTTTCTTCTAATGAATAAATGTTTAAAATTTTTTCAGAACTATTGGAATTCTCAATTTTCTATTCGAATAATTAATATAGCACATTTTAAAATCCAATAGTACAATTAATTAACGTAATTGATATATTTTTCTAAAGGTAATATTTCAAATTTTGAATTTTTTGAAAAACAATTGAAAAATCCTTTTGTGAAAAACTATTTTAGGTTATCTTTAAAAAATATATTTTGAAAATATCTCCGATTTTTTTAAAGGTTTGATATTTTAGGTGTTTTTGATTTTGGATTATCCGATTTTGCTGCATTTCTTTAGTTTGTTTGAAAATATGATTTTTGAAATAGTATTAGTAAAAAACTCGTTTTTAGTGTTAAAAGTTCTAAAAAATTTTTAATTTTTCGAAAGATGTTTAAACGATTTCTTAAAAAAATAATTTAAAAAAATATTTGAGCAATAAACTGTAATTATTTTATTTTATATTCGAAGAAATTTTAAAAAATTAAAAATATTAGAAACATTCTCAAGTTTCTCTTTCTTTTTTAAGGTTATAAATAGGTTTTAAACTAATCATTTTTTGCTTCTTCATTTTAATTTTTCTGAAATGGATTATTTTCAAGTCGGGAAGCTTCGAAACTGCTACCTTAGTCACGCTGGAATCAGCTGAACCACTGGTGATGGAAAATTTTGGAAAAAAGAAAAAATCTTTTTATAAACATTTAAACATTTAAATTTTCTCTTAAAATAATAAAATAATATTTTTGATCTTTTGTTTTCCATTTTTTTTTAAATAATTAATTCCGCTTTTTTTTATAACAATGAGCATTACAAGTTCTTTATAAAAGTTATTCTGACTTTTTTAAAAAATATTCATAATTTTTTCTCAGTACGTTTTAAACGTTTTATAATTATTTTTTATTTTTTGGAAAACGCGAAGTATTTTGGATTTTTTGGAGTTCAATCGATTTAAAATAATTATTTGCAAAGGAAAAAGTGGAATGCAGAAAGGCGCAAAATTAAAAGTAAATTTTAATGAATTTTGTAAGAAATGAATTTCGGCCACTAACAAAATTAAAAATCAATTTTGTTAGTTTTATTTTTATTTATTTTATTAGTTTTATTTTTAGAAATGGAGTTTTTCAGTGGGAAAAATTTGAAAACATATATTTTTCGAAGAATTTTTATTCAGTCGATTGTTTTCGGTGCTTTTCGGTTATTTTCTCTACAGAGTGACAGCGACAGGCTATTTGCTCTGCTTGCTGTTTCAATCCTCAACCTTTTTCCTTGTCGTTCCATTTTCCTATAATTTCCTTTATTCATTTTGCATTTGTTAATCTTATATATACTCTCTTTCTTTCCTTAGCTCTTTCTTTGCCAATAAATGGAATCGCTTCGAATCGTCGAGCTAAAAATGGCTATCTTTTTTATATTGCCGATTTTTTTTTCGAAAACTATATCTCTATATGAATTTAACATTTGGAAGAATTGAAAATGACCAGATAAACGATTATGCTCTCGTTTTTTTTATTTTTAGGTCCTTTGTCTACATGGTTATCAACAAAATGGAGCCATTTTTCGTGAGAAAAGTGGATCTTTTCGCAATGTCTTCAAGAAATATTTCGATTTCGGTAAGTTTTCGTCTACCTAGAAAAATTCTTTCCCTCCATCTCAGCTTTCACTTTACTTTTGGATTTGGCATCATTTTTTGCAGAGAAGTTTTTTTTATCCAACGGGTTTTAAAATTAATTTTATGGTGTTTTTATAGTTTTTTTATTCTTCATTTTTGTCTTATTTTTATTTTATTTTCAACTTTATTTCACGTATTATATTCAACATGAAATTTTTTGTGTTTTTATTTTAGATTTTCTAACTGCTCCTCATGTTGCTAAACCATTAGAATGCTTCAATAAATGGCCAAAAGATGGTACGTTTGTATCGTTGTTTTTCTTTTTTTTTCGACGATTCAGTGAAATGAACTGAAAAATAAACGCTAAGAAAATAACAGAAAATTTCCATATATTTCGTATTAAATCAATTAAAATCTTAGTTTTGATGTGACTAGGAATTCTATTGGTAAAAATATAGGTTAAAAAGTGAGACTTTATTTTTTTACTTTTTGATTCTATTCAAAAAGTGATAGAAGACGGTTGCTGCTGGTGGATCGCCACGCAACATACAGAACATGTTTATCATTATGAAGGATTTCAAGATTCGATAAAGTCGATTGCGAATTATATGGCGAAGAAGGTCAGGAATCTGTTCGACTTTTTTAACTGATTTTTCAGTTGTTTTCTATTTTATTTTTGGTAATTTAACTTTTATAGAAGTTTGAAATATCTCTAATAGAAAATATAAAAAATTAGAGTAATTCACTGAGCGGCAAGTGGTTGTGTTCTGTGTATCTTCTATATTATTTATTCTAATATTATTATCAGTCATTGATTATTGATTAGATTATTTTAGCATTTTCTGGTAAAAATCCTTAGGTTCTTCAAATTCATAGTAAGTTGAATCACATATAAATAGCAGATCAAAATCACAATATTAAAAATAAAAAAAAAAATTTTTCTTTTCTAAAAAAAATTTCTTTTAAAAAAGTTTTGCTTTTCATTTTTATCCCATGAAGCTTTTATTTTGATAATAAATTTCAATTTCGGATCCCGGGACATTCCAAAAAATATTTAAAAATACTATATAGTAAAAGGTTACGTTATAAGAGATGAAATTATCTAAAGAGCAATTTCAAAATTTTAAGTGAGGATTAGATGGCACCAAAAACGTCGAGTAATCAATAAAGGATTGATTTCTGATATTTTGTGATAGCATGCACTAAGATTACATGGAACATATATTGGGAGTTTGGGAATTTGGCGAAATCCGTCACACCCTATCCAGATATTGTGTGGATATCGCTGTCAGTAGTCCTTTGGCAAATGGAGGAGTGACTGTACCTGGTTCGAATAAGAATTACAAATTGTATCGCAGTATATTTGTGCTTCGTATAACTCTGGTAAAAATGCGAGTGAAACTCAAAGACAATACGAAAGAATGTGAAAAAGCATATTACAAAATTTTTTGACCATATCAAACTGAAAGGAAGAAGTACACTGAGGACTTTAACAACCTTAGTACCTTTGGAGCTATTAAGGAGTATTGGTCCCATATGAAGTCCTTTCCAGAAACTATTCGAATCTCTGGATACACTATTCGAAAGAAGGCAAGCTGGATTTTAGATGAAACGGTCTAGCTGTCCGATCGCTCAGACAGCACGTATCAGGGGGTAGCTATCGATTCCTCCGTAAATTCACAGTGAAACGGGACAAAAATCGACAAGATCTTGAATATGAAGATACTAGCTCGAATAGATCGAAAATTATTTTGTCTATTTTGCAAGGCAACCTGTGTTAGAGAAATGATCAATAAAACGATATAGGATAAGAACGGAATCTCGTTAAGACCACTGAAAATTGTGTAATCCAAAACGTTAATAAGATAGTAGTAATCCAAAACGTTAATAAGATAGTAATTCAAATAAAATTATCAGCTGTCGAAGAAGTCAGACTATATATATATATATATATATATATATATTATATATATACACTCAGATACTCATATTTACCCAAATTTTATGATTTTTAATGATCAGGCGATAGATAAAATGAAATTTAGGCTATAGATGAAATAAATTTAGATCGGGCAGTTGTAATTAGTAGTATTTGATACCTTCTTTCGTTCGGCTTTTCCGTAATTGCTGTGAAATCAGCAAAAAATATCATCTGTCTGGCTGTAGTATACACAATACGAATACGAACTTGGCCAGTGAGAGTGGAAGATATCATAAAGCTATCTCTTTGATTATTCATTCCTAAGATACATGCTGTATACGTCAAGTAGTCAAAGTCTCGTATAATTGTGTCTATCTTAGCTTGAATATGCATATCAAAATAAAGCGTCAGTTACGTTGGTTTGGTCATGTTCTTCCTCGTCTATCGTAGGAATTGACACAAACTGTTACTTGCTAAACTTTGTGGTGAATGGCGTTAGAAGCATCAAGGAACAATCAAGATTTGGAACCATGCGGTAATGTTGAACATAAGTGCTTTAATGATATCAAGGGCTTAGGTGATGGAAAAAAAAAATGGCTTCACCTATTCCCAAAATTGGCATGGGATTGGGAGCTTTAGAAACTTCTTATCGTCGTCATCAGTGGAGCGAGCCAAACCAACAGTGGTGTGGCTTACTTCTTCTTTTAATAGCTCTCACCATTACTGGTTAGGCTGTCTCCGCTTGCTACAAGTGTAAGACGAGTCTAAATTTAACCGTTTCTAAGCTTTATTCGATGCCATCTCTAATAGTAATAGAGGCATTCCTTTCTCCATCGTTTAAGTCCGTATATTGCTAATTCACCTGTACGTTCAAAACCTTTCTTGGTTGTATCAGAATAGGTCTTAATTGGCCCCATTCACAGGTGTCGTCCATCACAGGATTTAACAAGTAACAAAATATGTGTCAACTGCTGTGATAGTCGACGAAGAATGTGGCCTAACGAGCGAAGACAACGCTCTATGATACTGCTAATGCACCTGGTATACGAAGGTGGATGCAATCATATCAGATTTTATCCGCGAGGTCCATAAAATATATCTTAGAATCTGTACCGGACAGTATCCGTAAAATATATAAAAGATATCGTAAAATGTATCATGAATGGTCAAAGGCAGGCAACTTCTTTATATTCTCCACTCGCATCAGCCATTTCTTACAGTCATATAGCGCAAGATCAGCTATATTATATTCACGGATATTAGTTTTTATGATTTTGCGACAAGTCCATAAAGATTTCGCCATTCGGTCGAAAGCATTTCTAGCTACCGTTATCCGGTGTGGATTACTAGAAGAAGAAGATTGAGCCAAAAATCTGTGCATGTTCCGCGAAAACTATATATGCTAATTTATATCTATATATATATATATTATATATAGATATATAATATTTATCTAAATCTATACAAATTAATTTTTTTTTGCAAGGTCAGTAAATGAACTTTCTTATAAATATGAGTATAGAGTATTAAATTATGTTAATGAGTTTATTTTTCAAAATGCAGAATTTCTATGATTTTTCATAAGTTGAAAGCAACTATAAAAAATGATCCTTTAGGGTCCTTTCGATGGTATTCTAGGATTTAGTCAAGGTGCAGCATTTGCATTGCTCATGGCCTTATTAAAGCAGAAAACTGGTACTTTTACTATTATCATATTATTCTTGGCAGAAAATTTGTTTTCGAAATTTTAAGTTTCTAGGTTTAATAATCTTCTAATCTTCCTCGTTTCGTTTCCGCCTTATTTCATATTTTTAATGGGATTTTTGTCTTTTTTTTTTAGCAAGATTGTCAATTTCTTTATCAGTACTAATTCTTAACGCTTCATCTTTTTTTTCGCAGGAGTAGCATTTGATTTTAAATTTCTCATCTTGATTTCGGGTTTTGTCAGTCGTGCCCAAGAACACGCAGAAATTATCAATTGTCACATTAATGATATTTATTGTTTGAATGTTTACGGTGAAAATGACCAAGTTGCTTTATTTTATTTTGAATTAATTCTTTATTCTTTACTGCAATTTTGTAAATTAATTAAATTAAATTTTCACTTATAGTGAATTATCCTTTTTTATTATTTTTTATGAATTCTTTTCTCTGACTTATTTAATTTGTTAATTTTTTCAGTTAATAGTGCCAGAAAGGAGTAAGAAATTAGCGGATTACTTTGATGATGATAAAATTGAAACGATTGTCCATGCAGGAGGTCATTATATTCCATCGTTAACTGCTCATAAACAAATTGTTACTCGCTTTATTGCGAAATTAACATTATATTTCGGGAGAAATCCGGGAAATATTGATTAGCAGTTCCAGAATTTCGTCAGTCACCCTTTTAAGTTTGTTTTTTAAAATCCGCAATGAATAGAAGTTACCTGCTATGCTAAAACTGACCTTCATCGCTACTTTTTATTGATTTTTTGTGACCTTGTGGTCACTTATATCGTTTATGTTTGTGTAATAAAACGCATTCAACCTTAACATTCCTTTTAGAACTGTTTAATTTTGCTTTTATATTTGCTTTGTTAATCTTGATGGAAGCCTTATTTCGTAACTTTGCAGCCATAATTGCCCATCGTCCATCTTCTCGAATTCAGTATTTTTTCTGGAAAGTTCGTTTTATGCATATTTTGAAAGATCAGTTGAGGGTGGAAATTAAGGCTTTTATTGTGGCACTAACGGATGAAAAATAATAGAATTGAAGATGGGCATTATAGCGTCCAAAAGTTTTGAAAGTTGCCTCTGCAGGAAATCTTTCATCCGAGCATGTTGTTGCGATTTGTTTATATATTAACCATCGGTCGATTGTATTTAGTACTTTTGTATTACTATTGTTTTTACTGGTTTTATAATGTTCATGGTGATTACAATAGTGATATTTATTTAAAAATTCCTTTAATATTTAAATCGCAGTATTTACTCATAGTTTCTTTGCTTTTCTTCGGTCAAATTGTTTTATTTTTTGTCGGTTCTTTTACTTTTTAATAAAACTTAAGAGAATTAAAATAAAACGATAAAGAATATTGTTAAATATCCAAATAAACACTTTGATATCATTTTAAGAATGCGAAAGGAATGCTAAAAAATTTTGTGGTTTTATGAAATAACTCTTAGCTCGTAAAGTTATTCTGGTTGGCTTAACTCGAAAGACTTTGGCGACAAGGGCACAGGTGGGCCGCCACACTGGGATTTTCTAAAATCTGCTTTGCGCGGAGGATGGAGCACTCGAAAAATCTGAGCGAGCTTTTGCCTCAAAGTCCTCCAAATTATAAGGTTCTTATTTAAAAATGAAATTGAAAATGACTGTGCAATTCCTCTCGCATATTTTCGCATTCTCCGTATATTTTTCGAGTAGGAATCGTACAAAATATGTTGCGCCGTGTGGGTTTGTGCGGCTCACGAGCATGGATTCGATTCTTAGTGTTCCCTTCGGACTTCCTAATTTCCTTTCGAATGTCGATTGCGAAACGTCACCACAGATGAAGCACAACGAAATATATCGAAATATGCCAGAGAAGTTATGTGCGGACGTTCGGCGAGGTGTCGCGCTCTTTCTGCTGTCTTCATGTGGCGTCGTTCGCATTTCATTTTTGAAAGATATTCTCTAGGAGCGGTGCATTTTCGAATACATTTTGCTCGATCTCAAGTGAGACAGTTTTGAAGCCTTATTTGGTAAGGTTTAAGACTCATGAAAGAGGAATGACATTTATTGCACTATGGTTTTTTTGACTGAGAATTGTATAAACACGTAAATTTCTCGATGTTCATGGCGCTGTCGGCAGCAGTTAATAAAATTTGGACAACACAGAGGAGGCCGGGAAGACAATTTTTTGATCGTTCATGAACCTATAAGTTCATAGTTGAAGGTTTGTAGTTCGAATAGTTCGAATATTAACATCCATTACTTATATGAAACCTGTGCTTATTAGCATTTTTCTTCTTTCTAACAGTGCTGACCATTGTTGGGCTCGTTCCCTGGCTCATCGAATCTGACAAATTTTTCCAGGGAGACAGAAATACAGGTGTGGATTTTTGAAGGACTGCTGGAGAACCTCAGTATCCGAACTCCTCCTACCCGCGCATTTCTGACTTGGTTTGTTTCGAGATCACTGAGTGATTTATTAATAAAAGTGTTGATGCCACCAGGATTTCAGCTTTTACTTCTGACGAAGACAAAGAATAGAATCGAACTCAGTCGAAGAAATAAATAAATCACTCGCCTATCCTGCCCTTAATATTTTCGCACCAATTTTTAGGTTCCGTCTTATTTTTCCTTTTATATTTTGTATTTCGAAAATACGAGTCTTATTTATTCATTATATTTCGATCTTCGCAAATTCAATAATTGTTTTATTCGTTTCCTTTTTATTTCTAATTATTATTTCTCTAATTATTGTATTTTAGGAATGCGATTTCGATTATTGTCACGACTGGTTTTATTTTCTTTTCTAATGATTTGTTCCCTTATTGGATTTATCATCATTAAGTTTTATCGGCAAAATTCACCTTATGAAAGCACGGTCATGAAAAGAAGTGATAATAACTTCAGCTTATCATCTCATGAAATCTTTCAAGTTGCAGTTTTTGACATGGAAAGGCTGGTATTCTTTTATTTATAATTTTTTTGAATTTTGTAGTGAGACGAGAAATTTAAAATGAATAAAAAGCAATGAAGGGGAGAAATGAACTAAAAATTAAATTGCAATAACAATTAAGCGCTGCTTTGTGATCCTCGGCACATTTTACTTAAATTTCCCATGCTTTTCATTTGGATCCTCGGAGGGTAATATTTCTTAAATGGGTAAGTCATAAAAAATTGGGCATAGAGAACTTTCTTCGCACAATATATAAGATAAATGCATAAATACATAAATAAAATAAATGTTAAATCCCTTAAAATCCACTACCACTCCAATCTTTTTAATTACAGGTTCACTTCAGTAGGAGCCACGATTTTTCCATATTAACTTCAGTAAATTATTTTTTTTTATTGCATTAATAAAGCTTTTAGGGGAAGATTCCTCTAAAAACTGGCAACAATTTCGTGATATTGTAGGTGATGACTGATGTTGTCGAGAATTTTTCAAGTTGCCCACGGTGGTTTGAAATGATGATTACGTTGAAAAAATGTTATTTGACTAAATTGTCAACCGTCAGGCAACCTTGGTATTTGATTGCCAATATTTCTGTGGAATGTGGCGCAGATTTTGTTAAAAATCTCCTTCCTTTAAAATATCTTGTTAATAAGGTTTTAATTTTTTATGGCTTCTGAAAAGTTTCGTCCATTTTTCTTTTCTCTATCGAATATGTGTATTCAGACAAAACCTAAGAACCACAGAATAAATTCAGAGTGTCATTTGGCGATGGGTGGATTGCCAGCACTACTCGGATCTTTTAGTTTAAATGGCTCTTTGGTCTTTCGTTTTCTAATAGCTCTGTAACACCATTACTGGCTATAAGAATAAAAGTTTCCAAGCTCCACGATCTGATGCCAGTTGAAGCCTTTTCTTTTTCCACCATATATCAAAGTCCATATATCGTTGGTCCTCTTATATATTCAAAATCTTTTCTGGCTGTTTCAGTCCAGGTCTCGATTGGTCCACCTTTTGACGCCATTCACCACAGGATTTATCATCTAGCGAAATATGTGTCAACTCCTATGGTGGCGACGAAGAACGTGCCGTAATCAACGAAAGCGATCTGTGATTGTAATACAGCTTGTATCTTAAACATCAGTCAGTGATCAAAGGCAGATAGCTTCTTAATTTCTTAATATCCTCCCCTCTGATTGGCCTTGTCTGGCAGCCATATAGCAAGATCGAGTGCACCTATATGGACGCAGGCTTTCATCATTATAGTGATTTTGTTACGAGTCCATTAAGACTCCATCAATCGGAAGAAAGCAATTCTACCTGTCATTACCCAGCCTGTAATTTCATCTTTCCCTTAGCCAATTATGGTTAGAATGGATCCAAGAAATTTTTTTAAAATCTGATATTTCCTTAAACTGGCAAAGATTTGACAAAAATGGGTATTTTATCAGTTTCTTATAAACAAGGCGGAAAAGCTTTCGTTTTATTTATTTCATTGATCCTGAGTCAGATGTTCTCAGTTATTGACACATTGTTTAGCATAATTTTCATATTGTCATAACTTTCAGCAAAAAAGGACATCATCAGCGTATTCAAGGTCTATGATATTGTGCTCTGGGCTGATGTGCCCATCTTTTGAGTGATATCCATTATTTAGTTTATCAAATAGATGAATAATGTAGGGGAAAGAATACCTTTACAGACATCAGTTTTTATTTGGAAAGGGCCTGTCGTTTCCCCATATACATAAACCCATATACGCTGATAAAACGCTTCTTTTATGAGACGAATCATCTTTTTTGTTGTCACATTCCAACACTTTCCAAAGTGCCCATTCTATCAATTGAATCGAAAGGTGCCGCAGAGTCAATGAAACACGTGACAGTGAGTTACAAATATTTGAAGAGTTATTCCAGTTCCCTTCTTAATATGAATTTTTGGTCAACAACAACTGCTTCTCCGGTGTGAATCTATTAAGTGGAATTCCTCAAAGAATTTTTTCCATCTTACAAGGCGATCTTTAATAAATTTAACAGGCGCCCCATTAATATCCCGTATCATTTCACTAACCCTTTCTCGAGTTATAGTTGTTTTGTGAAGAAGGCGAGACAATTTCCTGTTATCGCCTAATCGAGCCGCAATCTCCATTCTCAAGGCTATGTTACTCCAATAGTGATTTCAGTCACGCCGTGTTGCTCGATCAAATGCTCCTGATACTCGTGCTTTGTCAACGTTTTCAGACAGACAGTTACAACCGATACCCAACTAGCGAACGTCCTACTAGTATGCCCTAGCGTCGCTGACTTTCGGAGACTTTTTTTCACTTTAGACCAGTATTAGTTTGCTGTTCCAGAAAAGTCATTAAAATTTATACCATTATATATACCATTGAAGTGCTTCAATAATTCGGTTTGAAATATTCTCATTATCCCCAATTTTTTTAGTTTGAGATAGTTGAAAGATCTTGCGGGACTTTATTTCTTGCGAGTCTTGGCTCGAACCATAACATGGTCAGATCCATGAAGGTTTCTGGTTTCTGCGCCGTGATAGGAACGATTATCTAGTACGGAATTCTTCCAATGACACAATTGACTAATATAATCTTGTTGGAGTCTGGGGAATTCCACTTCACTAAATGTCTTCTTTGATATATTAGTAATAAAAAATTCATGCTTGCCGGCAAAATGAAGAAGGTACAAGGTTCTCCATTGGTGCTACAATTTGGTTAGCATTAATACTATAAAGTATGGAAAGTAATTTTAATGAATAGTTTTTAAAATCAATAGAAATGATAAAATGAGAAATTTGGAGAAAAGTCGAATTTTTTTTTAAAATTGTTTTTATCTTCAAGGATGATGTGAAAGCAATAGTTTTACCATTTAATGCTAAAACAGAAGGGATATCATTAACAATAGGCATTGGTAACGATATAGCAGTGGAAATGAGACTTAAGAAGCTTATGCCAAATCTCAAATTTTTTGGTGTTGATCCTTTACATGAAGATGGAATATTATTCGAGCAACTCGGTCAATATCGAAAGGTCAGCTAAACAAGCTCAGTTTTTTTTTTCAGGATCCAATTCAATAAAGAATTAATAAAATAAATTCGCTAAATATAAAATAGGTTTTGATTTAAAATCCATTTATATTTTATTGGAATATTTTTTTTCAAAAACTGATTATTAGATCATAAAAATTCAAAAATATAAATAATTTTTTTTTATTTTGAAACAATCCTTCTATATATTAACATCATTCATAGTAAATAGTTAAGTGGTTAGGCTTGGTCCACTCGCTTTTAGTCCGATGAGAAATTTTCACCAGGTATTCAATTAGGAACAGAAGGCTATAGGTGGTCTTACTTTCTTAAGCTTGGTTGCGTCGGAGATAAGATTCAAACTCTGGCACTGTAGGCGCTGATCTGGCCAGCATACACCTGGCTGTCATGGTCCTGTTGTAGTTTATCTATTTACTTTGCAGTTTGTAGTTTATTTATTTACTTTTAATTTTTCAAGATTGGTATCTCAGAAAAAGGAGGATCGCTGAATGCTTCTGTGTTGGAAAATGGTTTATATGTTTGGCGCATTATCGAGTCGATCACAATGAATGAGCTTCTTCATGATTTCAAACTCTCTGAAGTTGACTTTTTATTTCTGGACATCGAAGGTGTTGAATACACAGCTTTGCCATCCATTCTTTCTTCGGAAATGACAAAAGGAATTTTTTGTCAGGTAGTTTCGTTTATTATGTTCTTTTTTTCCCCAATTTATTTGTTATTTGAAAGTAATTTATGTTTCGTTTAAATTTTTATAGTTTTTTATTTTTTTTATTAATTTTGAATCTTGAATGAAAACTTGAGCGAAGTGTGAAAACTTTTATTTTCTTAATAAATTTAGATCAATGTTGAACTACATGGACCTCTTATGGATTATGGTGCTACCATGAAAGATTTTTTTAGAATATTAAAAACGATCTTCATGTCCAGTTCTTCTTATATTCCATTATGGATTCCTTTACCTACAATGCACCATCGTATTTTCCTTGTTAACTGGAGGCATCCTTATTGTTTGAAAAAATATTTTTCCTATTGGTGCTAATAAATTTAATAATTTAATAAATTTATAAATAAATTCATGGCATGATTCTTTTTTTCTATTTTTAGATGAATGTTTTAAAAAATCCCAATTGGTTATAAAAAATTTAAACCTCTTTAAACCTTTTGAGTAACCGAAGGAATAAAGTTTAGCCTAACCAAGTAATAGGTAAAGGATAAGTAAAAAATGTTATTAAAGCTTATGGGGCTATTTTCATGAAATCAAAAAAATATCGGAGAGTCATTTTCCGTTCTACAGTAAAAAGAATAATTACAAATATTTGCATGATGGTATAGTTTATGTTAATCATACACATAGTTATTATGAAGTATATTATGAACTATATTCCTTCATAATATTTTGCTAATAATCAGCAGTATCATTTACCACATAAAATAATGCAGTTTTCTTAATAAATTTCTTTTGTTACATTTGTCAGTTTATCAGGTTGAATAAACGTAATTATCGTATTTTTTTTATTATTATATTTCTCAAATTTAAAGCATATTTTTGAAATTGAAACTAAAATAAAAAGACTAATTTATCTATTCATTGCCAAGTGGTCCGTGAAAAATTTCATACTTTTGGTCTGTGAAGCAAGCCCGAGCTGAGGAATGGTGTTCGCTAACTACTGACTTAGAAAAAATTAATTTATTAAAGGACCTTTTATTCAATTTGAATTCAGTTCCATTAGATAGATTATGAATAATTCTTAAGGAAAAGATTACAAAAAGTCCAAAAACTAGCGACGCAACTTTAAGAGATGTAAAATGTGTGGAAGACGAATGCTAATTAGTTAATTGATACCAGAGAACTGATGTTATGCTTTTTTTCTTGAGGTAAAAAAAAGACAATGGCGGAAGGAACTACTGAAAAATTCACGATGGTACAGTATGCTATGTATTCTTCCTTTTTAAACAAAACGAAAATCTATTGCCGTAAAACCAAACAAAGCAAGCGAAGGGCCAAGAGAAAGAGCAACGAAATTTAAGCATGAGTTTATTAGCAGAAAGAATCGTTATCTTCCAGATTAACTGAAATCGTGATAAGTATTTATATGGTAAATTAGTAGTTGTCGATTGTGTGTCATCAATAAATTATTTATCATGAAAGCGCTCTGAACCAAGTGAAAATAAAATAAATTGCCTTATTCAATAAATTGTTGAATAACATTAAAATTCTGATTTCGGCAATGTTCAAATGCTATTTGTATAAAGCAAATGTGGTTAGAGCGCATGTCAATCGTTATCGTTTTTCTCGACAATAAAAAAACCACAATCTGCTGTTTCATCTATTTTGACAAAAAATTTTCTTAAAGCAACAAAATCATGATTTCTTATTTCTCCATTCATGAATCGCTTACAAGAGACGATAAACAAGTAAGTGGCTAATGCTCACCATTTCTGGCTAAATTACTTCCACTTGCTATTGATTAGTAGGAAGAGAAATTTTCGTTAGGCTATCACTGGTGGATGGAAATATAGATGGATTTCAAGCGGCATCTCGGTGTTTTAAGGACAGGTTCAATCCTGCTTGAGAGTTCGAATCTTGGGAATGAGAATTTAATTTTAAAAACCACTCGGTTTTTGTTTTGGTTTCTGTTATCCTGCAAGCATTATCATCTGCTTGCTTACCCTCTCAAATCTATCTGCCTGTGAATTTTGCTTTTTAATGTAATTTAGATTTGTAATTTATGCATTTTAGAATTTTTTGCTATTTTGCTGCAAAGTTTTGTTACTATAAAATAAATTATTAATTTATTGTTATAAGCCTTGTAGTTAAAAATGAATACTACTGCAATTCAAATAATGCTTCCAGTGCTTTTATCCAGAATATCTCGAACATTAGGTTTCGGACCCTCTTCGGATAGCAGTGTTAATTGAAAAACTAACACTTTTTAAACGCTTTTTGTCGTCAAATGATCTCCTGGCAAAAGTTAATTTACTTAGTGATGAATGGTTAGCAATAATCAGTATTTTTAATATTTTTAATCTAAAGAATTTGACCACGTAAGGAACAAGAATGTTTCTTTCTGGACATCGCGTTGTGACATCAATTACTTGTTGCCACCGATTATCTGCATTTGTAGCAAAAAGACTGAAAGATGCCAAATAATTGCCCGTTTATTCAATAATTAATAAAGCAAAATAATCGCATAAATCTTTCTTCACAGAGATTTAATTATTAAGCTTTAGGAAAGCATCAGAAGAGAAGGATGAAAAAAATTGCCGATTAACATGAAGCTAGTAGCCATCCTGTCAAGAAGGTCGGAAGACCATCAATACACAAGCCACTTAAGTGCACAAAACATTGTTTATATCTTAGGTAACATCAGTCTTAGCTATTGTATTAATAGAATCGGACTAAGATAAAAGGGCGGTAAACAGAGATCAGCCGACGCCCTAACAATGCTCGATCACAGCCTATTCAAAGGTCAATTAAAATCTCGTTGCGCATACAATTTTGTCTTAATTGCCCTCTTTTCAAACATCACCTAAGGTCATGACCCCAAAAAACTCAAAATGTCATTTTCATTCCTCCCTACGTTATCTTAATCACAAATATTTGATATTCCTTTGATACTATCTTTTTTATTACTGATATATTTATCACTATATTTATCACTCTTTTATCGCCAATTTTTAAGCAATTTTTCTTTTTAGTAGCCATTAGCAACCAATTATATTTTTTATTGACACATTTCTAACCAACAAATATGGCATAAAAGAAAAACATCTCTGATTCTTTTTTTATGATGGAGAAAAGTATTGCAAATATATGGTAAATTTAAGTGATTTTATCTGGAGATAAGACAAACAATTTGACCGGAAATACTATGGATTTATTTTTCTCAGCAATTTTATTTGTATTTTATGACAAAATATTAATTTTAAAGAAAAATTAGCTGCTTTACCATCTCATTTTTGGAAGACTTATTGAAAAGTTGTTAAGAACAATTTACAAGAAACAAAAAATTTATCTAAATATGTTCTTTAAAACTTTAAAGGCCTTTTTTAGATATTTTAGAATAAGTAATTTCCGAAACTAGGAATTCGCTTTTCACAGTATTCTTGGTGATTGTATAAATTAAATATATATATACAGTATAAATATATATACCTTTGATATGTGCTTGCTTTAATTTATCTTAAAAATATTGCTACGTGCTAAAATATCGACTGTTTGTTTATTTAATTATTTTGGATATCGCACAAATATCATATTTAATTTTGAAAATTCGATAGATCGAATGATCAAATTAAAAATTTGGGCTACTAAATTGGATTTAGGAATTTAAAAAAATAAACCGACGATAAGTGAAGGACATACGGTAACCAATATCCCTTTGTGCCTATCTCTTTTACATTTTTTTCATAAATATTTGCATAATTTCCTTCGATAAACATAGTAAATTTTTTCTTTAACGAAACAAAACTGAATATGGCCGCAAAATCAATAAGCGGCCGCACCATTGATAGGATATGTGAAGACTTGAAGAAGATTTCCCCCCTAACGGAAATGTTATTGTTTGCATCGATTAAATTATGTTTAGCTAAAAGTCAGTAACTGTAATTTATTATTAAACAAATGGTCACCAACAGCGAAACGAAAGCCAAAACTCATATTCCGCAAAAAAAATTTTTAAGAATCATCGCATCTCAGTCCCTTTCATTAATGCATCTGTCAATCTGGAAAATTAACAATGAACCGATAGAATGAAGTTTATTGTTTTATTTATAGAATAACGCTGGAGATTCACTGTAAAAGGTACTGTTCTTCCCAAGTGACTGTCGTATGAACAACACAGAAAGCCCGATGCAAAATGGCGAGCGTTAGCTACTTACCCTTTCATTTAACTTTATTCATAATACACAAAGCGCTCTAATATCTGCAAACTATCTATTCCTATCCTCAAGAGATTTCATCTGGTAAAAATTCATAACCGTACTAGTTAGTGGAGTAAACTTAACTAATGAGAAATAATGAGATCTTATTTAATTAATGGTGTCTTATTTTTTAACACATAATAAGTGTAATTTGCAGGAAAAGAAGGTAAAAATAAATAAAAGAGCGATGAAGATTCAGATTTTAATTGCTTATCTGTGATTTAAACTTCGGCTTTTCGTATTTCTGAATTTTTCATTATTTTTAAGCAGTAATGAACTCAATATATGTATGAAAGCCATTTAAGAAATATATGCAAATGAAATTACATTCCAATTCACATGAATATAAATAAGTAGTTTACTCACTGAAGTGATTTGTTATTTAATAATACAGTTTTATCCGTTGTATTGTGATTTCATCAGCTTAATTCAGGCAGAAAAAATAAATCTAATTGGTACGATTTTGGCTGTTATGAATGAATATGAATGAAGGTTCCTCACTTCTTTCAGTCGAAATTCCAGATACAAAGCTATTGGAGTGAAATTATCAAAAATTAATTATGCTACTAAATGGGTGAAGCTATCTTGAATACAATAATCTATCGATAATGTTGGCATTCATGTTGGCATGCATTTTTTTGCCATTTTTCTTAAATTTTCACTATTCTCACAATAAATTCTTCGAGTCATTTTTTCCCTTTTTTGTTTCTATCTGTTATTTCTAACAGATATTCAATTTTTTATTCTGTTCAATGCAGTCAGAATAATTGCTGCTAATTGTTAAATTTAAAAATTTTGATTACTTTTCAATCGCTGTCTTTTTAAGCGAATTTCGGTAATAGTGACACAATAGACCCCTACTTCCGCTCGATAGTTATCGATCATAAATTGAAATATATCCATGCTATAATCATATCTATGCTAATCGCTATGCAATGATTGGGTTGAGTATCAGAGGTGGAGTAAAGAATTGTTTGATGATTGGCTGACGGAATCGGTAACGCCCTTTCCCGTCAATATCGGATATGGTGGAAGTGGAACGGTTCTTGGAAGGGAAGGAAACTCGTCAGGAAGCGGACCAGAAATGGATGCAAAATCGGATGTCCAATCGGCAGGCAAGGAACAGCATAACATTGATCTTGCTAATTTCAATTTTGGAGCTTTCCAGGTAAATGATTTCATTCATAAGAAATTTTTCTTCTCTTCTCTTCCTTAAACCATTTTTAAGCAAAATGCTTCAATTTTAAAGTCGAAATTGATGTTTGATAATGAACTAACAATCAAAATTTAAAATATTAAATTTCTAATTGACAAACAAAGTTTAAATCCAGTTTTATTTCTAACATATGAATTATAAGATTTTTGAAATATGGAATTTTTAATATTTCAATATTTTTAATTTATATAATTCTTTATTTTTTGCCAATGCATCTCTTCCACTTTTTTCTTTTATTGCAGCTAAAGTAACGAAATAAAACAATAAACTTGGAAGATTCTTGAGCATATTTCACATCATTTATGTTTGCCTATATTAGAGATATATTAGAGATATATATTAGAGATATTAAAAGAAATTAAAATTAGCAAACAGATAGCAAACATAATCTTGTATCAGTGTTTGGCCATAAGGAATGATCATTTTTGTGATTGTTGCATGCAATGCGATTTACCTCAGCTATCAATTATCAATTATTTCTGAAGCATTTTTAGTAGTTTCAGTGCCGTTTATTTAAATCGCTCTTTCTTTCCTTCTTTTGTTTTAAAAAAATATATAAAACATAAAGGTTAAAAAGTAAAAATAACACTGAATGGCACTCATTTCTACTTAGGTTTATTTCACTGGATGTTAATATGAAAAAAAAATTTTTTTCCCAGCAACCATTTGTAAGCGATGTATAAATAACTCCTCAGCGCTATCCGCATTCATGGCAGTCTTATAAAAAGAAACAGCAAGATAATTTGAACACTAATCATTCGGCTATCCTTCCAAAAACTGGAAGAAACTGCGATTGCATTTAATTGTATTATATGTATATATATATATAATCATATTATATGTATATATATATATATATATATATTATTATATTATATATTATTATATTATATGTATATATATATATATAATATATATATATATATATATTATTTTTGTTTATTAATATTTTTAAACGTCAAGATATATCGAAGTTGTGAATTTTTTTGTGGGTTATTTTCAGTATATCTGTTATTTATTACTTGATTCTGACTTGACTCATTAACATCGTATTTCTTTTGATATCGAATTTAATTTGATATTTTTCAGTTATCTACGAATAGCCAAATCGCCAACAATTCGATCAGCATGCCTCCTATGGCGCAGCGCAACATCTTTTATGATCAACATAATCCGGTTCAAATGCACAAACCTATGAATCCTCAAGCTGGTAAGCACTACAAATATCCTTGGTTCGTTACCATGAAATCGGTAAATTTCATGCATTTTAGTTTTAATAACTTTATGTATGGGTGCTGAATTGTTCGACAAAATTCTTCTGTAGCTAATTAATTTAGGCCAATTTTTCATTAGTAGATTCCATTAATCACCTATTAGTTTTTCACAAACCATGTGGAGTCCTTTTGCATATTCTTATAAAGGCCTTTTCAAAATCTAGGAGGAGAAAGATTTGCATGCTTATTTTATTTTCATCTTTCATTAAAATTCACTTTTGCATCCGAATATACCTATCGGTAACACATGAATGGATATTTTCTTACCGCCTTATTTTTTCAATCTTTTCTTTAGTTTTTTTAATTTTTATTAGCATTTTATGCTGTGTCTTTATTAGTATTTAAATATCTTTATTTGCTCGTGTCTTGGGAATATTTTCGATTGGCATTGTTAATATCGAAGATTTAATAGAATGAATGACCGAATGCCATATTCTTTCGACTAGGTTCGAGAAAATTTGAACTTATCTCATGTATTTTATCAATATTGGTTTGGAAAAAACGTATATTCGTGTTTTTGCTATACTCATGTTATCATTCATGCAATTAGATTGCTTTTTTAATTTCATTCCAATTTCGATATTGAATTAGCTGAATTAAACTAAAAAGAACACATATTTACATATTTTCCAATCAATACAATAATTTTACAATTTTGTTCCTACTATTTATCCATGTTTAGAAAGATACTCGACAAATCAGAATTTTTCACCAATTGAAAGTGATTTAAAAAGTGAAAGTGATCCATTTACTAAAATTTCCTATTTATGGAATTCTAAGACATTCTAAGACATTCTAAGACATTTTGCATGCAATAAGCTTCTTTAACAATTTCGTTGATATAAAAATTTGAGTAAAAAACATGACTATTTATGAATATGAATTATCTTCGAATTCGGCCGATATAGCTTCTATTTTTTCCATGCCTATTGTTATTTTTTCGATATTCGGGATTAAATAATAAATTTGTATTTAATATCTCCGCGATGATATTCGTCGAAGAACAATATCAGCAAAAAATTTTTTTAAATCCGATTAAAGCAATATCTGGCATGAATTTTATTTTACCTATTTTGAAATTTAATTTTATTTAAAACTTTAATAGATGTGCTATTTTTCTTCGTCTAGCTGCGTTTATCATTTCTATTTTGCTTGGTTGCACTGTTTGCTATTAGGATGATATTCTTTTTTTGAGATGGTCACCTGAAAAAAAAAGCACATGTGGGCTGTCCAGCATCTTCGTATGATTCTATTCAAAGTATTATAAGGAACGAATGGTAATACGAATTTTCAGCAGATGAACAATAAAAAATTAAATCTTAAATAAAAATTCATTTTTTCCTCCAATATTCGTAGAAAACATACAATCTTTACTATTCATCTATGAAAATTTTCATTCATTCTGTGAGGGTCGTTTAACCAAGTAAATGATAGCGCAGATTATCGGATTGAGAAACAATAGTTCGACTTCTGTATACGATAGGAGTGAATGTGTCATTAAAAACTCGAATGATGGCGCTAATCCACCTATACCCAAGTACTCTCCGAAGAACTATTTTTCATTGTATTAATAGCAGATGAGCATAACCAGAAATGTTTATTATGCTTTATTAAGTTTTTAGATTAATATGATATTTTCAGAAATCACAAAAAAATTCGTTCTTACGTTTTGATTTCCTCTTCAATCAAAGATTGAATAATGGCAAACTGGCAAATTTTAGACGAAATTTCATTTAATTTTAAGACATTACTGGATAGTTTTCACCAAGTTACTTTTAAAAATATACAACTTCATCCTCTCACCATAACGCTATTCAAAAATACAAATGTAATAAAGTACTCAGCAAAGTTACAATTTTATTTTTAACGACTGAGTTCTTCCAAATAAGGAACAAAATATGAAACCCATGATGACCTCAGTCCAATATGGTACTATTCGATCACGAATGTATTTAAGGTGTTTAATATATATCAGGTTCTTAATTTTTCTTGATTTATTTGCTCGATAGACTGTTGGCTTTTACAACAGAAGTATTTTCGATAAAATTTTCCTGTCACATATTTTGCTGTTTTATGATATAAAAATCATTCGAAGATATAGCTAAAGATACTAAAATACTAAAATAGCACATCAATCAGAACATTGTTACAGTACTTCTTGTACAGCAAATATTGCCTAGTTGAATGTTGCGCTGAGATATGAGATATTCGAGTGGTATGCTGCTTTTAGTAAGCTTTAATCATTTTGTTTTCTATCTCAGTTTCTGTCTCTTGATAGAGAAAAACTTGACATCAAAAGTGTCCAGGTGATCTTCTTTTCATCAGATTTAACTCACTCTATAAAGATTTTGTTCATTCACTTTAAAAGTCGGTAGATTGAATGCTATTGAATGATGGAAATTAATTCACATTCGTAGTTATGGATCTAAAATGCAACAATCCGTAAAGCCATAGATATAAAAAGAAAATACCTTAAAGAAGCTATTAATTTTATTGGCGTGTGTCTTATAAATTATAAAAAAAGCGATCATCGATAAAAATGTAAAGAAATAGTTGGTATAAATCGTTTCTGGTCAATTCCACTGTTACTGTAGTCCTTGCCAAGGAAATATTTACTGATTAAAGGCCACCAGCTTGAAGTATATGTCGAAACCTTTATCTCTCAATGCAAGATTGGGCATCAGTATCCATTCAGCTATCCTGGAAATAATTTAACAATAATTTACTAAAAAAATCTATCAAAAATTCATATTAGTTGAATATAAAAATGAAATCAGTCGAAATGAAATGGATGAAATGGCAGATTGATTAAATAGCATTTAGTTGGCGTTTAACATCAATTTAGTAAACTTAATAATAAGTCTGAGTAATGATTTCAAAAGAATAGCGTTAAAGAATTGCTTGAACGTCATTAACTCGATTTCCTTCGTTCACAATCTTTCTAACAAAGAAGGAAAAATGTTTGCTTAACATTACTTATACGATTTATTTTTGTCGAGATCCTTCTCAGCAAATGCATAGCCTTATTGTTATATTTCCCATTATCCATAAATCCTCTTAAATATTGTTCAGCCCGCACTTATTACGTTATATCCTCCTTTTCTCAGTTATAAGGTTGTTTCTAGAATTTTTATTCGCGTACACTAAAATTTATAATTTTTTTCGCATAATTAAAGTTCAGCCCGCATAAGGATTGTATCACTTTAGAAATTATTCGTTACGTAAATTAATTAGCAGCTAGAATAAGAAAAGGCCATTTGTGGTGCCACTCACCATTTGGCTAATAGGATCTTTCGTCAGAGAATATGGAAGTATGGATGAGTTTACAAACCAGATTGGCAGGATATATTAATTTGTAAAACAATTTATTAAATAATTTATAATAAATTTGTAAAATAAAAATAAAAAAAAATAAATTTTTTCTTGGATATATTTGGCGAAAATATTTGAATTGCATTCATCATAAGTAAACAGCAACTTCACCAACTTCGTTACAAGTCTTTTCTGACTTACTTTCACAGTTGCATTTCACAATTTACTTCATTTTTCTCATTTTTTGTATTCTTATAGATCGAAGATCACATGCCTTGAAGACCAATGGCTTGAGAGTGTCAAAGGCCTGAAGATGCCAAAGCTTCACTGGCAAAAATTTAATATTTAAATCAATTTAATCCTCTTCACTGAATCACTTAAGATCGTTTTTTATTATAGGAAACGAGTCTTTTAATTAATTATAATAATTAATAATTTTTTCTAAATAAATGATGTTAAATTGCAGGAATGAACTTGAGCACTAATGCATTTCATACGACAAATCCGAGTAATTCATCATCAGCTATTATAAAAGAAGAGGTGAAATTTTTGTAGTTTCCGAATATTTTTGCTCAAGCTCAATTAGTTATAAAATTTGCGATTTTGAAAATTTAAAATTTGAAAATACATGGTTTAAGGATAGAATCGTTCAGAGAATTTGGCATTTTTGCCTTTCTTGGCCTTTTGCTTGCCAATTTTCTTTAAAAAATATTTCTGCAACATTCATTTCAACAATTTTTAGAGAATTTATGGATTTCAGCTAACGACATTCAATTCATCTTGTTTTGGTTGTCCATCACTTCGGCTACCGACATGCCATGCAACTCCTTTCGGTCAACCAGGTTGGTATTTGCTCTAAAGAAATCATATAAGTCTATGGGTCTTCTACGATAGGCTTAAATCCTAAGAAAATCAAATATAACTTTACTATATTCGTGCAAACTGCTGCAAATTTATTTACTCAGTTGAAATTTAATTTACTCAGTTGAAATTCTCATATTTCTGAAAATGGCGACCATTCACTGATCAGATCAGAAAATGGTACAGTTCATTCATTTCAAATAATTTTATGAAAGTCTTGCAAGCATAAAGTCGATTACAGTCTTTACAACAGAACCATCAGTGCTTCCATAAAATTAAATCATGAAATGAAGGCGCGTTTGATAGAAATTAGGATATTTAGCAGACAACTGTGGATTATAAACGAAAATCACAGGTGATCAAACGAATATTAGCCTCAGCAATAAATAACATTATTCTTCATATTTTAATTTATTAAAAAAACGTTAGTAATTAATAGCGAGTTGCAGAAATTATTACAGATAATTTTCATTCTAACTGCCCATTGGAAAAATAGAAACAATGCTAAGCTGAACTGACTATTAAATAATGATAACTTCTTTATTATCTCCATTTTCACCATTTTTCAATGCCAAACGTGATGGAATTATTATCTTAAAAATATTAAGACATTTCAGAAAGTTCTATATCTCTGAAAAAAATATTTTTATTTTATAAATATTTTTATTATTTAAAATATTTTAAAAGTAGTAGTAGTAAAACTATTGGGTTCTTTTGAAATAGAGCTGGAAAGATTGATAGCTTATAAGAGAAAAATTATGCATTTTGCGGTAAATATAGCCATATTTTATATTAAATTGGCGTACCTCGTCGATTATTCCCAAAGGAAACCGACTAACTGCAAATGTAAATCGCCGCAAAGCTGCTCTTGCATTTTTAATATATTTGCACAAATGATTACTGGTATTATTATTATTATTATTGCATTATTGCAGCACTGAAATCAATTAGGTTCATCATCGATTACTCTCCATCTTTTAATTCATTAGGAAACATTGGTAAATATTGGAAAAAAATGCTGCATGGAACATCTTTATCTTAATTTCCGATAACTTTGCCCAAATCTGTGCCAGTGGATACTCTTATTAATGTAGTGAAGAATTTCGAAGAAGTAATTATTTGTTATTATAAAGGATTGTTAATAAAAGGAAAAAAAGAAATTTAAGAAATTTTTGAGAAGACAGCGATAAAAGAGTAAAGGTACCGAAATTTTTTAAAGATTAAGACGATAATCCACGCTAAAATCACTCATCTATCCTGTTTCCCTATTCTCTCGTAAGGTGACAGAGGTGAAATAAAATGAAATTGATAATAAGAACTAATAGGAATGTATTAAATAAAAAAAGATGCTTAATTGAAATATGGCAATTTGTCTTAAAATGAAAATATAATAAATGATTGTCGTACAGGTGACAATAATAATTTTTTAAAAGCGAATTGTCTTTAACGAGTAATTTAAGAGGCAAAAATAAGCAGCTGCTTTCCTCTAGGACAATCATTGTATGTTAAATTACCGTTCGTTTCAATTTCTTTCAAGCGAATATGCAATTGTCTCAGAAAGAAAACATAACATTTGTAAATGAATTAGATTTAAGAAAGGAAAAAATATTGCCGTTTAAGGGAACGAAATTGAGTTGACATAAATGAATCGATTTTCTTTATTTTTCACTGAACTTTCGAAAACGGTCGATTATGAAGGAATGCATTCTTCGGCAGGTTTAGGTGCCTCCGGCAAGAATACACCTAACATTTAAAGATTCGTGAAGTACCATCAGTCTTTGCCAGTAACAAAAGTTTCTGTTGTGAGCACTAATTATATTCATTTTCATCTATGCGAATATTCTATCTATCACTTTTTTTTAAACTCATTACTATTTACATTTACTCCGCTGGCTTAGACAGACGTGCTAGGGAGATCCTCGGCAAAAGAAAGTGAGTCGGCAGTATCACCTGACTTTTGGACAAGTTCAATAAGAAATAATAACGCCGCTTCAAATTGAGCGACAATCTATTGGGCCATTCTATACCTCATTTCCATCCATTATTATTTAAATAATTACAACATACTTACATATTTAATAATTAATTAAAAAAGGAAAACGCAAATAATTAATTACTTAATGATTAAAAAAGAAATTCATACCTTCAAACAATTTTTAATACTTTAACATTTTCATAAATTTTAAACTTTTATATTGACATTAGTGCATTTATGTTTTTCTTTTCCATCGTAGTCATAAGCAATCACAGTTTTTAAGTTTTCTATAATTTAAAAAATAAACAAATTTGTCTCTCTTCTTTTCTTTTCATCTAATGAAAAAAATTATATTATGAAAAATATGAGGTGCTGTTGACAACCAACCTATTATTGCGAAAAAAATTAGTCTAGTCAGACTAACAAGCAAATGAAAAGAGCCTAATCAGGAATGGTGAGTCCTCTCCAAAGTGAAAATGAGACTTAGAAAACATCAATATTTCTGGTTAAACAAAGAAAATGTGTTTTGCTTCTAAAATTTCAACTTTTAACACTTCATATGGAATTATTCTATTTTACTATTGGTAAGGAAGGATATGTTGATATATCATGCAAGGACTGAATAAAAGAAATACGGTAATGCAAAATTAATTATTTTCTTTTGGCTGGTAATCTAAAAGTTCATTAAAGAACATAGTGGCTTTTCTGGCTTTTTGCCTTTTGCTTTTGATTCACTTCATTGATGAAAGATAAAACGAATGAGGGTATGGAGTTGTTTAGATACTATGGTCTGGGGAGAATCTAATTAAATGCCAAAACAATAGTTTTGAAGAATAATTACCCGAGCGTTTGATTTACATTCGTAAGTTAGGTTGATTGAATTGATAAAATTGAATTCAGAACTTGAAATATATAGCATGAATTCATTACCCATCATCATCATCAGTCTCGATCATCATCATCACCACTGCTTGCCTTACCAACATAGTGTCGTCATCAATTCAATCAGCCTAATCAACGAATTCCCTTTTTCGCTTTGATGGACCAAAATACGAAAATCAAAACACAATTGAATAAATTAGTCGCCAATTGAATCATTCAAATCAAGTGCGAAAGACAAGCATTATTAATTTAATGTTTTGCTGTAGCATTTTGACGAAAATTCTGTGAAAATAATTTGCAGATCCCTATCAAATTCTTGGACCGACAAGCAGTCGTCTTGCAAGTGCGGGTAGGCAAATTTCCTTTAATTTTTTCTTTTTTTTCGCATTCTTGATTGATATTTATTCAACAATCTGCTCATTTTATGAGGCAATTTTTAATGTGACATCTCCTTTAAATCCAAACAAATTATGAAATTAATGATATGAATCTGTTAGATTATTTCCAGTGAATAATCTAAAGGACTAGTTTAATTTTTTTAAATAAACCAATTTTTTTAAAGAATTCATAAAAAATTGAGATTCCTTCATATTTATGGACTATGAATGTGTGTATATTCCTGAAGTTTTTTAAATTATGTGAATTTGCAAGGTAGTTTTGCCTGAGGATTAATTACCTCTGCGGCAAATAATAGTGTTTTTTCACCATTTTTCTTCTTTCTGAAAATTTTTTCTCTAAATTATCGTAAAATTTATAATCAATAGTATTTATCAGTAGTTTCGAAATAAAATTGTTAATTGTTATTCGTCAATATGATTTTTTGATTTTTCCTCAGAAATGAAGAGAATTTAAAAATACTTTTTCTCGAAATTACTATCATTTATTCCTTTATAGAAATTTTTTTTTATAAATTTTGTTTCGTTCCTTTTCTCGCTTTGAACTTTCATGCAATTTAGGTGCTAAAAATCAAAAAAACATAGAAAAACATAGTTAGCATCATTTCATTATTTTTTTCCTCATTTTAATTCATCATTTGTAATGCGTTCTGTTTCTTCCTATAAATATAAAACTTAGAAACAACTTTTCTAAATTTATTTTTTTTTAACTAAATATTTATGCATTAAAAAAGTAGATTAAAAATTTATATTCTAGGTAGTGGCCAAATACAGTTATGGCAGTTTTTGCTTGAATTACTATCAGATAGCCGCTATGCAGAATCAATAACATGGGAAGGCACAAATGGTGAATTCAAATTAGTGGATCCAGACGATGTGGCACGACGTTGGGGTGAAAGAAAAAGCAAACCAAATATGAATTACGATAAAATGAGTCGCGCGCTACGGTACTATTATGACAAGAATATAATGTGTAAAGTACATGGCAAGCGCTACGCTTATAAATTTGACTTCCAAGGTAAAAATTTTTTGATGAGCAAAGTTGATTGAATTATTATGCATAACTGTATATCAAATAAATATAAATTATAAGTAGATAGATTATAATATAGATCTTTGTCAATTGTTATGAATCAATTAAGGCTAACAGTAATTACCAGAAATCACCAATACTGGTTTGACTGGCTCTTGTCTAGTAGGGCGACTTTTTTTCCACAGAATCCTGAGCACTAACTTTATATGAAAGTATCATTAAATTATTCATTTTCATCGGCGTAGAACGATGATTCTCGATTTTGACAATAGAGACAATATGTAAGGATTACAGTGTCACAAACTAAAGAAATAGAATATTTTTATTTAATATCTATTTAATAGTTGATTTCCTCACGATAAAATAATAGAACATTCCACAGATTTGTTTACTTTGTCATTTATAACTATCACCACAAATCGTTACAAAATTTTTTTTGCATTTGCATCTAGTGGTGGATCTTTTCAATTAATTTTTCTATCTAACAACATGAAAAAATACAAAAAACGAATATTTAATAATTTTTTCGCATTTGGACCGACTGCAACTTTTCTGCATCGTTTAGCAAAGATCGGAAGATTTTCTTGCAAGTTGAACTTTATTAATTTCGATATTCCGCTTAAAATATTTTTCTTACAAATACATGTTTTCGCGTATTTAAAATCTTCAATCCAAAAAATATATATATATATAAAATGAATAGATTCACATATTTTAGATGAAATAGACGAGTGGATAGTAGTTCAGATTTCAGATTGTCGTGTTAAAAAGCAAGGATTCATCTCCTGGAGCAGTACAATCCACTTAGAAAATCGGCAACATATCTATCTAGCGTATTCATACCGCTAAGTGATTCCCTACGATTTCTAATCGTATTAACGGCCAACTGGGCAAGCCTAACCAGAAATGGTGATGAGCTAATCACTTAATTTTTTAATATTGATATTTCGTCCATAGAAAAATTTTTTGAAGGCATAGCACAAGCGTTGCAACCACAAAACAATTCATCATCTGCTGATTTGTTCCAGCAGTCCAGATTTCATTCAACTGAATTCATTCCATCGCCGTGGGCAACTGCAAATTATAGATCACTTATGGCACCACAGTTTCAAGTAAAATTTGTATTATAAAATAATAATTGCTAGACCCCTTTTAATTCAGTGATTCTCAGTGATTCAGTCAAGAAGATAATATTGAACTCTTTCATCGATTTCTTTTTCGAAAAATTTTTGCAACAGTTTTTTGTATAGTCAAGCATTCATCATTTTTATATAAGATATTTTTATATAAGATATATACTTCATTTTTATATTAGATATTATAGGTTATTACTAGTATATCAAATCATTAAAATCATACTTTTTTTTTAGCACTGCCTAATTAATGTAAAAAGTTCTTCCAAGCAATTTAATAGTAATTCATGATAATAGGCTGAGCAACAACGCTTCTAAATATTGCTATTGATATAGTACTTTATCACTATTGTACTTAAATTTTTATGGGTTATTACTATTTTAATAATGGTAGATTATTTTCATCTGAACTGGAAACTTATAAGAGAATCAAGGCACCGCGTAACAAAATAAATAAAGTTATTTGCTCATGAAATAATAATGTGATAAGAGAAAAGAGACTCAATGGAGAAGAAAATTATCAGTGATGAAACAATAATGGAAGGCAACACCGAGATATAAAAGAAGAAATAAATAAAAGGAACATAAAATAATTTTGAGCAGGATTAGATGAAAATAATAGGTGATTTTTATGGATGATAGTGATCCAAAAATTGGCATATCACTATTTAGCAAGATCCTAATTCGATCGATAGAAACAATATTTTTTTATTAGTGGTTTCATAATAAATATTATTGTAGGCATCAGCAGGAGCCTTGTTCAATCCTTCAGTGGGATATGCAAGTTTTAGTAATTCAAATAATGGCGCAATACCGTCACGGAATTTTCCTCTGTATAATCCGAATAATTATCCTAAATGTATTTGAATATTTTTAAAACAGAATTCACTATTTTTGAGAAAAAGGTTTCATCAAAATGGCTTTTGGCTATAAATTGTTTTAGTGGGCTGCAAATGTCCAAACTAGAATGTATGTTGATGAAAGAAACAAAACAGTAATCTGCAGATTCAGTCGGAAACAAGAGGCTGTACAAATATTATGCGAAAATTTTATTTTATTTATGGATGTTATTTTAAATAATAAAATATATATTATGTATTGTCAAGTATTTTCTACATTTTTTATATACATTTTTCATCATTTCTACGTGAAGTATTATTTATTAGTAATTTCTTTCTGTTTTTTTAATTCTTGGTTGAAATGCATTTGCATAAATTTACCAAAATTATAATGTCACAAATGAAGAAAGCTTAATTTTTAAAATAATAATACTAAAATCGTTGATCCAATTGCTTGATATTAAAGAACGAATTAAAATAAATTATTTTTAATAAAATTTTGACAGACTAAAACTTCGGTTATCTGCACAAAATTATGCTTAGAGTATTAATTAAAGCGTAAAACAAAACATTAAACTTACATTGAATGATTAAAGTGGTTTGCGCTTATTTCCTGGTAGAGCTTACTTTACTGGGCACAGTGAAATTTCCGCCAATTAATCACACGGCGAAAGAAGCACAGGCCAATCCCCAGCATCACTCTGATTTTTTGAAGTTATACTCGGCGGATAACAAGATCCGAATCTGAATATTCGAGATTATAATTTGAACAACAAATATTCCACTATTTTTTCCTCTAAAAGAGAAAAGCTCCTCAATTTCTTGAAAATTTTTTTAAAAATTATTTCAAATGATTTAAGTCTGTTTTGAAAAATTTTGAAATTTTGTAACGCTGGAGCTCTAATAAAATTCGAAAATTCACATTGTTTTTAGATAAATGCTAGTATCTCTATTTGCTTCCACATTGTAGAGTTGGAATAATATGAAGTTAATTATAAATAAGCGAATTATTTGGTACAAAATAATAACTATAAAATAATTAGACGTGCAAACTAGGCAAGGAAATGAGCATAATATCACTAAACTAGAGGATTTTTTGCGCAGTTCCTCGCTTAGTGCCACACTTTAACCACATTGAGTCATAAACAATGAATTGGTCTATCGATTCATCATTTTTATCTTATCAATTTTAGCATATTGCTTGGTAAACAACAATCTTCACTAACTACCATTCTATATTTATCGTTGATAAATACACCAAATATCATATAAAATTGACTTCGAGGACTATACAAAATTGCCAAACAAAAAAAAAAAAGCTGAAGAGATGAATGAAACAATTTAATTTTGCAATTCTGAACTTTTTACTTTGAAAAGTTTAATGAAAAAAATCATGAAATTAATTAATTAAATTAATAAATTAATCAACAAACACAAATATGTTAATCTATAAATGGTGGAAACAACCATTTATCACTAAGATTTATCGCCAATCTAAGCTTTGGGGTTCGCATTTTTGCTACCATCACAAATTAAGCAAATTATTAAACAATTAAACGATATACAGAACCTAAACATGTTTCGATTAAAAAGTTACCATTGTGCTAACACCTAACAAACCACATGCTGTTCTTAAACTTTACATGGTTTTTAAAAATTTTATTTCCGCATTGCTTCAAAATTATAATTAACTGCAACAGGCAAATGTAATAAAAATATAACAAAGACATGATTTTGTAGATATTTTAGAGATATTTATCCTGAAATTAAGATTTCTTTCATTAGGTATCGATTTATTAGTGGAATTGGGGCAATATGGAGGATAGCCTATTTTAAATAGCTAATACAGCCAGGAAAACTAGAAATGCTATAAGAATGTTGACTTCATTATTGCCTTGCGCTCATATCTTTATCAATTGTTCAAAATCTTATCGATAAATTTCGTTTAAAGAAAAATTGTCAGAAAAATATTACAAAACAATCATACATTTTTGTATTGCGTACTTTTCTTCTTTTTCTCGAATGTGCAATAAAACTGAAGTTTCTGAAAAGTTTTATTATTTAATTCATTTTTATTAAAATTTTAAAATTGCTGAATTTTAAAATTTAAAAATTTTAAAATTTTATAAAAAAATTGAATTTTAAAATCGTTAAAAAATTAAACTGCTTTTTTTAAATTTAAAACAATAAATTAGGAATAAAAAATAAATTATAAACTATATTAATTATAAATTAAATTGTATATAGCACCGATTAATGCTACAATGGTTCGAAGCGCAACCAATCCTTTTTAGTGAGGGTCTTTGGGCGAAGCTCTGCCTTACCTCAATCTCCTGAGCCTTTGGTACCCGAAGTTGAAGGTGACCCATACATCTTCTTACCCACAGGGATCTCTATTTTTCTAGTGGAATTCTTGGGCAAAAATCTGTTGATACTTACTTCAAATATGAAAATACTATATTATGCCGATTTTACCACTCTCATCGCTCGAATTAATAATGTCCGTATTAGATGTTGATGAATTAAGACCATCTGATGACAATTGAAGTACTAGTACAGCGCCAAGTGTAACCTTCTTGAACGAAGTAAGATAATCTGGAATTGATATATTACTAGTAACACAATAAACATAATGAAAGGTGTTATATGAAATTTATGAAGGAATTGTCAACGCTTCAACATAAGAAAGGATCAATTTTGTGATATATTTCAGACCCAAAATGTTCAGAAAGAACAGGAAAGGAATATGCATGAAACAAGCTGGAAAGCTAGAAATTGCCTTCGAATATCTCCGCTGCAAAACAGAACAGTTGAAATGATCAAGCGACTACTGAGGCTGAGTGATGCACTACCAGATAATATAATCGAAGATGCAAATAGAGTCCTCATGACAATTCCTATTATCGGAATAACAGAAGCTAATGAATTGGTACGACAAAGCCACTGTAATTCTCGAAGTGTTCGGGTATAAAATAAAGAAGAATAATAATGGAATTCGCCAATGGAAAAGGAGGCTGGAAAATGAGATCAGAGCACAATGCAAAGAATTAGCCAGATGACAAAAACAGATTAGAAAGATGAGTAATATTCGGATATTGTGAAAAAACAATAACTATACTATTCTCAAAATTGCTAGACAATGAAATATATAAATATATATGCGTGTATATAATATATATATATATGTATATAAAACCTCTCTGTGCATGAAAAGGATCATCCGCAATCTTGGGTTCTCTATTAGAGAGATGAGAGATTCTTAGTAATGCGCTTTTTTGGATAGAGATCTCTGATGTTGTTCCTGGAATCTGTTTGAGCCCTTTTCTTGATTTGGAGGAGAGGGTTACCCCTAAGGTAAAAGATGGATTGGAAATTAAAACATTGGCAATCAGAAGCAGGATAGGAGTATGGTCGTGGTATTTAAAGCGAGCAGCTGATATGGAATATAATAACAATGGTTCGGTTCGAATCACAGCCAAACTTTTTTTTCTGCTTTTTCGCTTGTGTAGTTGGGCATCTGCTGAAAGCTGGCGTTACCTCAAATATGAAAGTGTGCACACTGCAGTCATACAGCCTCAGAGTTCATCCAGATTAATAAGGTCTGCGTCCAGTATTGAGGAACTAAGACCATATGATAATATGTGGGCTACTGGAACAAAGACGAGGCGAGGCTAGTTTGGAATGAAGGAATGCTTGATAGTATACCTAATAAAAGAAAATATAGCTGATATGAGGCAAAAAATCATAAACAAACTGGAATATAGAATCAAAACACAATGCAAGGAATTAACCAGGTGATAATGAAAGATCTGAAGATTAAAAAAATGAAAGATCTGAAGATTAAGATTATCTGAATAGGATCCAGATAATGGGAAAATACAAGAATTACACTCCATCAGAAGTCCTCAAGATTGCTAAATAAAGGCTCCAGCCACTAGGCTAAGGAGATATATTAGAGAAGCGGAGGCTAAAAAGATAAATTACCTGTTCTCCAAGGAACTATCCAAGGTGTACTTTGCTGTAACAATACGCAAATAGCAAAAACTATTCAATATTATAATAATACATGATAGAAAAAGAAGATTCATAACACCAAAAGAGTGCTGTCCCAGAGCAGGAACCAGTTACCATCACAGCTGCTGACGAAAGCATGAAAAT